GACGACTGCTGCTCTGAGTGCGGCCAGTGACGAGCTAGTCAAGGACTCCGTCTCAGAACGCATGACACAAACGTGTAAGCCTAGTATTGCTGCATAATTAAGAGCAATATCTCCTACTGCTGACTGCTGAAAATGTTGTGTCCTTCACAACTAGTCTCTTTGTTCTAAGAAGTCTGCCTCTTTCATCGATTCGTGTTTACCTAGCTGCGTTACGCTATTAGTAGCCTATTACCTGTTGTGCAATGGGGCTGGCCTAAAAGCTGCTCGCTCAACAGTTGTGTTGCATGGCATAGAGGGAGAGACGGCAAGCCGCCTCGGCATATTTGCGGATGGAGCTTTTATTAGAAAGGAAAAGGACATATGGATACGAGTTAAGAGTAACTGTCCACCACTGTAACTAGCTACTACAGTAAAAAAAATGCAACAACTAGGCACAAAACTGACAGAGTGCTGAGACATTCGACGACCTGACTCCTAGCTTCAACACATCTCCGTAGCGCTAACCAACAGCCTTCCAACTTGGAAGGTTCAAGGTTAAAAGGAGAGACCAAAGCTGCTCGCTCAACAGTTGTGTTGCATGGCATAGAGGGAGAGACGGCAAGCCGCCTCGGCATATTTGCGGATGGAGCTTTTATTAGAAAGGAAAAGGACATATGGATACGAGTTAAGAGTAACTGTCCACCACTGTAACTAGCTACTACAGTAAAAAAAATGCAACAACTAGGCACAAAACTGACAGAGTGCTGAGACATTCGACGACCTGACTCCTAGCTTCAACACATCTCCGTAGCGCTAACCAACAGCCTTCCAACTTGGAAGGTTCAAGGTTAAAAGGAGAGACCAAAGAGGGGAAGGTAAGCGCAACGAAAATGAGCACAAGCTAGTAGTTGAAGCTACAGTCCCACAAGAACAAGAAATGTTGATTGTTACTGGACGATGACGAAACCAGTATTACCTTTCCCTCTTTGGTCTCTCCTTAACACTACGGAGATGTGTTGAAGCCAGGAGTCGGGTCGTCAAATGTTTTAGTGCCTGGTTGTTGCACTTTCTGACTGTATTTAGTATATAGTGACAGTTACTCTACACTCATATCCATACGTCCTTTTCCTTTCTACATTAATTTTATTATTGCCATATTGGCTCAACATCCGAGTTTCAAAGAGCTTTTAGTGGACGACTTAATCCATTTTCGGCAATACTTACAACGATCCAATCAGTCATATTGTAGATCAGGCTATGCTGTGGGTAAGTATACTACTGGCCTTGTATGGCTTATTGTTTGCCAGCGAGTATTTAGCATCATCTACTAGTATTCACTCGTTTGACAGCCAAAGAGTATTTGTGTGGGAGGCTGGGAGTCTCGCACCTGACTTGGTCACGTTGCGCCTGAAGATATACGATGGAGCCGTCGCAGTTCCATCTACTGTCGACGAAACATGCCCGGTATTGGCTATTCCGGTACATGACAGCCCATGCCTGTAGCACCAAGCCTGTGTTCACGTTTGCCAAAGGGATCCACCTTACTCGGCCTTATATAAATAAGATACTCTGTCACGCTCTCAACTGTTATCAGGTTAGCTCCCGCTCCATGCCCATTGTTGGAGCGACAGTCCTGGAATCCAGAGTTGCAAGTGAGGTGGTGATACGGCAAGCAGACGGTGGCAAAGTACGGCTTAAAAGCTCTACATCTGGCAAGTGGCCGGCATACCACCCCAATGGACATCGGAACAGTACACGTAGAGTAGCATCTCTACGTGACAGGGTATGAGCGCAAGTGAGTTCTTATGCTTTACTAATGTGCATTGATTCTGTGACTATAGTTGGTGTACAGATCTCATCACATGTGCCTTAGGTGGGATTTGCTATTGTCACTGTAAAATTCAGCCCTAACAGACAGTGTGATGGATGAATTTGACTCCAGGTTTCTGCTTTTGGGAATGCCATGTATGCATGTCTGGCGTGCTGCTGCTATAATGTTGTGGCAGCAGCATTTTGGTGCGATGGACTGTTCTTGTAACGGTGTACCTACCCATTTGCTGTTGCCGGATGCCGTGTTTTGTCAGTTGTGCCTGTTTGAAGGTGCCAGGCCAGCTTGTGTTGGTGCGTTCCCGGTTGCTGATAATTGGGGACATGTTTGTCCATTTTGCTCGAGATTCACATGGCTGCGCCAGTTGCCTTGTGCGGATTAAACTGTTATCTGGCACTAGTCTTGATCTGTTTTATTCAGATTCAGATCAGCTATTGTTCCTATACGAGAAAATCTGTGGGTGCACATCCAATTCATTTGCAGATTTGCGTGCTTCTCCTGCAACGGGCGTTTACATGGTACATGGTGTGTGGGCGTATGTGTGGTGTGTTCATGCTGTACAGGCCAGTATTGCCAAGCACTGGGGACCTTTGGCAATCTGAAGAATGTTTTGTCCGAGAATCGATCCTTGGATCTGTGGCGTTGCAGTTGTGGTGCTCCTGACCCTCTTGCGCGATGGCCGCGGAGACTTGGCGAAAAGGTTCGAGACATACGGCATCTCAATATCTTCCACCACAATCAGTACATCAGCACCACCATCGAGTGTAGTGACACCAGCAATAGAAGACGCACATGATATCATTCACCCTTACGGCCTTAGCGAAGACCCGGGAATACCTGAGAAGATGTTAGCCGCAACTTTACTGGAAAAGTCGTCGGTGACAACGGCACTCCATATTTTAGCTGCATGCAGTTAGGTCTCTCAACAAGTGTACCCAAAGTTTTCAAGCTAATACACAAGCAAATTCACTAGGGGCCGAGTATATTTTCCTACACCTCTCCCTGTTTGTTGTTATTTCTGCATTCAAATTGTTTGTGTACCTGTACATTTATTACAGTAGAGCCTCGTATCCACGGCTGTTGTTTCCAAGGGGTCAGGCTCGTCAGTTATACAAAACCTTTCAGCAATCTGGCCTTAGGCTTAGTTCCTTGACTTCTTGTACCACCTTCTTAGATGCACATCCCACTGGATAGTGAGCAATACGTGTGTAGCAGAATCTTTATTCCAGAAAAGCAGAGACTTTAGTCTATTGACACTGCGTTTCTTTTTAAAACGTTATTGGCTGTGGTGTTCCTAGAGGTATACACGTACATTCCTGGGTCCCACGTTCTGTGACGCCCGACTGTATTCGTGGTGCCTCAACAACTTTTAATTTTGTGCACTCGGGAAAACCTGCCTGAGGCTGTGAGGCTGCAGAGTGTTGGCTGTGTTTTGCTTTAAAAAACCATCAGGTCTCCCCAGATTTTCTAGTCTGGCCCTGAATTTTGCCACTCTTCGTTTTCAAAACCTAGTGTGGTGGTGGAAAGCCTAGCAGTGTTGTGTGTGCATGTGTGTGTATTTTGTACAGTGCTGGCCAGAGAAATCCAACCTCGTTAATAAAGTAGCGCCGCGTTCGAGAGCACAGACCGGTCCAGTATGTTTACTACTAGGGCTGCGTAGCGCCCGGTGCAATTTTATTCATAAGGTTGGATTTCTTTGGCCAGCACTGTAGTTAGAAGTAGGTCCTCTAAGGTCCTCTGTTTGTGCGCAATTGTGGTCACAGTGGCAGTAGTGGGTGAGGGGTAGACTCAGTTACTACGAAGATGGTGTATACATGATGGTGTATACAGTCATGTAGTTGAATGTTACTTCGGGCTTAGACCCAGAGGTTCTTGCAATGATGACCCCGGGTTTATGTACATGTATCATTCAGCTACCGTTGTCATAATGGCACTAGTTGATAGAACACCTGTATAAGTACAGGCTGTATATCTAGCATTTTCCAAAATAGCACTCCGTACTTCGAGGCTGCAGCCGTTTTGCATGCAACGTTGTATGTGTTGATCGGTTGACAGCATGTGACAAAGCCGAGGACACACTAGTGTATCAGGAGCACTGTTTTTTAACACAGTGCGTCCCCCGCCTTGTCATGTTAATTTATCAAACAAGGCTTACCTATACCAACATTATACATGTAGGGCTGTGCAAAAAAATTCTTCCTTGTTGAAGTAGAATACCGTGCTTGTGGGGGCTTTAGTAGTTCCTTTGCCAGATGTTCTATGCGTATCTCAATGACTTATCAGTTTCAGCACTCGGGCAAGGCACATTCGGGCCTACACATGTAGCCTTGAATTCTTGCTTGGAGGCATTATTTATCTATTTTCATGGCTGCTAGGTTCATCCTCAGTTAAGAGTTATTTCTCCGTGATTCGCTGATGAGTCCACAAAGGACGAAACAGCTAGACAGTACTAGTGCTGTCCCCAGATTGTGATTCTAAATCCATAATACTGACGCTCAATCTCCAGACAGCTGTTTCAGCCTTTTTAGGTCCCATCAGTGGAGCTCAGAGCGGGAGGTTAAACAAATGGCAATACGGTCTATGAAATGAACAAAAAAAGCAATTTGAAAATGGCTCAAAGCATCAAAGTCAGCGAGCTATCTGCAAGACACGCACAAAGAGAGCTTTGCACGAAGGCAGATACATATTACATATACCTTTGACACTAACCAAAAAGAGTGCTCAATCAAGTCAACGCAAGGCAGCGTAATGCGGTGATCGAGTCTATAAAAAGCTATAGTGACATGTAGCCAGGCCCCCAGCACAATAAGCTGACTTGCATCATGCTAAAATCGTTCACACAAATCTCTTATAATAATTATTATATAGATTGCAGGATAAGGTGGTTGCACCAGGAAGTGCTGTCTCTGCAATAGTGGGACCAGCCAAGATTGCAGTACAGTCGTCCACCATCAATCCAGCACTTCATTGGCCCACGCCCTCGATACACCAGCATGATTTCCGGAGTTATTACCATTCATTGACACATGCCCCCCCCCCCCCCATCCCCCAGTTCTTCGGCACCTGACCCGAGTTCTATTTGGGCCGCACTACTTTGTAGCAGTCATACTATAGTACTAGAACTGGATGCACGTGATATCCACTGGAGCTGGCGCTGGCCATGAGCTGACCCACCGCCGTGCCTCCCAGTGTCAATTTTGCTTATGTGATCCTACCACAATCTGGAACATTATCAGTACTCGCCTCTGTTGACTTGCCAGCACTAGTTCTGGTGGATCCGGGCATGTTTCTGCCTTCTCTTAAGCATGTATTCTCCTGCAGGTGCATCTTTCACCTCCTTCTAATGCGCGAGCACATTTTCTGTGGAGATTCAACGACACATACACCAGAAAATACAGAACGGAACAGTGGCTGCCAATGCGACACAAGTACCACATAGACCTAAAAACTCATAAGTACCCTGGGAGTTAGATGCATTTACGGGCAGTATGCCAGGATTTGCGCAGCTAATTTAAAATCAGATTAGCAATGCTGTGTGCTACCTAGGCGGCATCTTAGACTCAAAAACCAACCGATTGTGGTCCAACCCAACCGACAGCGTTGTCGGTGGGTTCCGATTGGCAGGTGTTGGATGGACGTATGATCCATGCGTCCCCACAAGCAATGAGAAGTTAACAATGCCACTAAGGATATAATATAGCGGACAGCAGTACAATGAAACTGGGCCATTCATTATCAGCAATATCAGGTATACCCATCCGATAAGACGTACAGCTCGTGTATGGCGGACTTTACAGCAGGTCCCGACATAGCTTGCCCCGTGCCCTTTACCACTCCTGGGCCAAAACTGTTGTACAATATTCGAGAGGGTCTAGCCTAGTGAGTGTGAACAGAACCTGGCAAACCATATCTCCAAGTGATTCACATGTTGGTATATTCTCCGTTATCATACATCAATTCCGAGCAATTTGACACCCGAATATTCTCGCACCACTACTGCTGAAGTATTGACCACAAACCATGTTCCATTTGACTTACAAACGGAACTTGCAAAAGGCATGAGAGCACTGGAATCTGTAAAGACTCTCGCATTATTTATTAGCCACCATACATACCTTTCGGGAAGTCGTGTTGGATGCAGAATGCTCGGAGAGCAGAGCTCAGTGAGATCTGCATACAGTAACACAGCGACAATGAATCACATGAACAGAAGGTATCCGTACACATCTGAATATGCGCTTATGGGAGGAAAATCCGTGCGACAAAAGAGGACCGTGTTATGCAGGTGTATGTCTTACCCGGGTACGTACTAAGTGAGATCCACCGTACGTATATAATTGTATTGCAATTGAATCACTTGACTGACTGGAGCCAAAAATATCAATTGGCACTTACTCCGGTTACCCGAATGTTTCGGTACCACTATCATTAGGTTTGTTGCAATCGAACCAAGTCATAGTTGAGTCATTTTCAATGCGTTAGGTGTTACCTGACGTGCCCACTGCATCAGCCGCTATGTCATATTCCACCAGGCATGCACCAAACCAGGCGCAATGCGCACACTGATGATGGTGGTTGTCACACAACGAGCAGTAGTAAAAGTGAAAGCACATTTTGCATGTGATTTTGTTGTAATTTGTGCCAGTCGAATTGTCTCAGTGTAACTAGTTTATCGTTAGCTTACTAGTTTGTTTATACAAAAGAGAAAGACCAAGGAACTACAAGTTACGCTATACTGTCCACTAACACCACCAGTTACTAAACAATCAGCTCATGCAATAGCATTGCACGACACTGAACACCTCTAGCACATCTTGGATGCGCACTCCAACAGCCTTGTGGACGACGACCGTCACTGGAGAATCGGTCCGTCGCTCCACCAGCCCGGCGGCACAGTGGACAGTGCCTTGGGGGTGTCAGGCATGGATCAGGCTGATAAGGACGTGGTGGAGACGGAAATGATGTTTGCAAGGAAGAGTGATGATATGCGTATATGCTCTCCGCCAGTTGTTGAAGCAACAGTCCGGCAGTGGAAAGTCGGCAAGGTTAAAATAAGTGACCAACTGGGTGAAAGTACACCAAATGTGGCCCATCTCTTGAATGGTGCGGACCACGGCAAGGACCTGAAGTTGAAGGTCGTCAATGGCAACACTGCATGGTCGACGTCAATGGGAACATCAAGCCATCAAGTTGGTGGAACTATGGAATGTCCGTCGCAGGCTGCAGCGACAGGGTAACGTGCTCAGGGAAGAGTACAGTGACGATGATCAGCTGTGTCTTGCACGCAGTCGTGTTGATCGTGGCGTGCAGAACAACAGAGTCAGTTGCGGTATTCGTACATTTGTCTGTTTAGGATTGTGATCCCCAGGAAGTCCTTTGGTGAGGAGTGATGTCACGCAACGAGCAGTAGTCAAAGTGAAAGGACTTCTTGCATGTGATTTTGTTGTAATTTTGTAAGGTGTGGTGGCAGAACTTTCAGCTGGTAGTGGGTGATGGGCTGGCAGTGTGACAACAATTACGGGCTTGACGAACGACATAATTATGGCGAGTCGATCTTTGGCCAGTTGCTGAGTTGGAGATCGTCACCGTAGACCCAGAGATCTGGTCCACGGTCCAGGGGTTGGGATCCCACTGTGGTGAGAGCTTGTGTGCCTGCTCATTGCGGCGTAAGACGCGCTGACCAGGAGTGAGGATGGGGGCGTTTGACCGGCGGGTGGCATTGGCAGCGTCGCACTGGGATTGGCGGAATTGCTGGTCACGGTGGGCAGCTGAAGGCAAGTCTGGTGCGGCTGCCGTAATGCAGGGTATGCTGTCGCGGATGGGGCGACCAAACATGAGTGTTTCCGGTGCCTCGTGAGTGGCAGGGTGTGGCGTGGTGCGGTACGCTAGGAGCCATTGGTCTAATGCAACATTGATGTCTTCGCCAGCTAGTTTGGCACGGTTCGCAGAACTTTGCCAATGGTACGGTTGAGGCACTTGACTGCTCCGTTTGCTTGTGGCCACAAAGGAGGGGTGTGGCGGTGCTGGATAGCGTGTTGCGCGAGGAAATCAGCAAAAGCCGAAGAACGGAACTGAGGACTGTTGTCCGAGACTAGCTCTTCGGGCAAGCCGAACATGGATAATGTAGAGCGCAGAGCTTTAACAACACCGGCCGTAGTGGGTGTCGTGCTGAACACTTGATGACCGGGTAGCGAGTCAATTGGTCGATAGTGGCAAGCAGGTGCTGACCGTTTGGCATGGGTCCATACAAATCGACGAAGACTCGTTGCCACGGCTTGGTGGACGGTGGTGTGGGCACGGACTCCCGGACGTAGCGGTGTCGTTGAGAGAGTTGCTTGGCACGGAATACATTGCCGGCAGAGTGTTTCGGCTTCAGTAGCCATGTTGGGCCACCAAACCTTGCTGTTGAGCCGTTGCTTGGTGCGGACAATATCTTGGTGGCCCGCATGTGTAAGCTGCAGGGTAAGCCGTTGGAGGGCCGTGGGAATGACGAGACGGTCGTTGCGGAGTAGTAGACTGTCACTCTCAGACAGTTCATGGCGGAGGGCAAAGTACGGGCGGACCGTGGTGTGGTTGGAATCCCAGCGGCCAGATTGCAGAGAGGAAAGGATGGCTTGCAGTGTGGTGTCTGCGGTGGTGGCGTCCGCAATCTCCTTCAGGGCCAACGCATTCGGCTTAGCTGCTGTAGCTAGGGCATGTATGTACGCAGTGTCTTCCTGTGCGCCGATGTTTGGCAAGTCGGGATGAGGCTGCGGATTGCGACTGACGACGTCGGCCGGGTTTTCTGGGCCAGGCTTGTACTGGAGCTGGAAGCTTAGATCCTGCAGGCGGAGGACCATGCGCTCAATTCGTGGCGGAGGTCTCGATCCGATGGCCATGAGTTGCAGGAGCGGCTTGTGGTCGGTGACAACGGTGAACTGTGGATCACCTTGTCAAGTAGTGGTGAAAGCGAAGGCAGCCAAACTTGACACCCAATGCTTCCCGTTCAGTTTGATAATATTGCTGCTCGACGCCGGAGAGTGCACGGCTGGCGAATGCTACAGGTGCATCGTGGCCGTTGTCTTGGCGTTGACACAGGATTGCGCCGAGGCCGGTGGGCGATGCGTCGACATACAGTGATGTGTATCGCTTGCGGTCAAAGTATTGCAGCATGCAGTCTTCGGCGATGGCCTTCTTCAGTGCATCAAATGATTGCTGCTCAACATCAGTTCAACGCCAAACAGTACCTTTCTTAGTGAGAGCAGTGAGTGGCGTGGTGAGATCGGCCATGTTACGAATGTAACGGCGGAGGAAGTTGGTGAGACCCAGGAAACTCTGTATGTCGCTGACGCAAGATGGTGTAGAGAATGTAGCCACAGACTGCTGGTGGCTGGGAGAGGCGCGGATGCCCTTGTCGGAGTAGACGCTAGCCATGAACTTGAGCCGAGGCTTGAGGATGTGACATTTGTGACATTTGGCTCGGTTGAGTGTAACGTTGTGATCTTGGAGCCGCTGGAGGCAGGCGGCGAGTCGTCGGTTGTGCTCTTCGACGCTCTTACCAAAGTTGAAGATGTTGTCGTGGACGTTCTTCACACCGTCGAGGCCAGCGAGCCATGGCGTCCAGTGTGCGCTGTAGGATCTCGGATGCGGACGATACGCCCATGGGCAGACGTTTACAGTGCAAAACTGCGTAGCGACGTGACTCAGGGTGGCCTGGCTCTCCACAGCGGTAGCAGAGCGATGTGCTGGATTCCCGCTGGCCTGGAGCGCGAGTGGCGACTGGGGCAGGTGGCTGGTGGTACGAGTTTGCAGCTGGATGTGGCGAAGACTGCATCGGTCGACGCGACGGAGTTGAAACAGTAGCGGGAGGCGGCTGTGTCCTTTTGTAGAACGGTGGCTGATGACGGAGGGCATTGATCGAGTCTTGTGTGCGCCGGAACGCCGCCGTCTGTTCCACTGACGCTTCAAATGCTCTGGCGGCCTTGAGCGCCTTGGCGAGATCAAGGGACGCAGACTCCAGCAGTTTTCTGCGGAGTGGATCGGACGTGCATCCTGCCACAATTTGATCACAGAGAGCCACGTTCTTCTGGGCATCGTCTGCGAAGCTGCAGGTCGTTGCCGATGCCAGCAAACGAGTATAAAACGTGTCTAACGTTTCGCCAGGCTGCTGGGTGACCTGCCGGAAGTGGAAGCGGGCCATGCTGGGGCTCTGCTTCGACTGAAAGTAGTCGGCGGCGGCGGTTATGAGGCCGTCGAGATCGTTGCCAGTGTTGGCTAACGTAGGGACGAGCTGCTGGATGTCCTTGCCGGCCACATACTGGAAAGTGTCTCCCTGGCGAGTGTCATCCGAGATGCCGGCTGCTGCGACATAGAGTTGGAAACACCGTTCCCAGGCAAGAAAATGGGCAGCAGCGTCGTAGAGACTGCTGTAGATCGGGAATGGCTCCGGAGGCGGTAGTGACAGTAGGGACATGGCGAGGATCAGGCGTTTGCTCGCAGCGCCAATGTAATGTTGTTCTCTTGCTGTATTCCAAACAACAACTAACTCGGAGCTCCGGAAAGCTCCGCAATAGTGAGGTTTTGCATTCCGAATTTCGGCTCGGCATTCTTTGGTCATTTGTCGAACATCAAAATGTCGAATTTTCGCACCGACGTTTGTTTTGCAAGTCGAAAATGATGTGTTTTGATTTCGTGAGCCCCAGCATCAGCAATGTCCTGTCCCGTGCTCCTTTTCTTGCTGATTCCGACAAACTTTGATCGCGCCCAAAGAGTCGAGGGCCAAACCTGCCTCCTCAGTCGCCTCAGAAAAACCAACTCCATGGCCAAGTCAAATTTTATGGGTATCGCCATAGTCTTTTCAGCCACACAGATGACGGTGAGGACACTCCAGGCGAAAGAGAGTAGACAGGCAGCGGAGAGGAGCAATCAGAGGTAGCTGACGATGCTGATGTCGTCAAAGACGCCTGCGAAGCCATGCCAAGATAAGGAACCTCTTTGAATAAATCACGCGCTAGCGCTCTTCCACAAGAAAATTCATCCGAAAAATATGTTCGGCAAAGTGAGCTTTTTCCGAACAAACATGCCGCATCTTCGTGTGCATTTTCGACCTCGCTCCCGCGTGCCGAATCTTTTGCCGAATTTCGGAATGCAAAACCTCACTAATATGATGCCAACAGAATGTAATGGTGTGCGTGCATGCGTACAGAGTCGGTGCGTACCGACTGTCAGCACAGGTGTGGAAAGCAGCATATGTAAATGGATAGGAGCACAAACGGTGCCGCGTGCATATATGTGTCGGTAGAGCATGAGACTCTTAATCTCAGGGTCGTGGGTTTGAGCCCCACGTTGGGCGCCAAATGTCGTCTCGGTTGGAGAACGAGCTGCCTCTACTATATCCTCGCCACGCCACACATCAAACGGACTAGTAAAGTGGTTTTTCTCTAGAGCTAGAGAGAGAGCTATTCATTACTACACTTCAGGAGACGACGGGAGAACTGACAACTGACATGGCGAAAGGAAACATGATATCGGAAAGTGGTGCCCTCATCAGCACAAAAAGTGGCGCACTCGATATCATATCAGCACAAAAAGGTGCACGTGTCAGCAATACAACAAAGCAGCGCAGCAGCATGTACGGGTCAGCAGCACAGAGACACAAATACAGCAGCAGGTACGACAAAGAGACAACACGTGCAGCCACATGTACAACATATGGGTGTGACAGTCCATATATGTACGTGTGAACACTACACACGATGAGAACATGCAAAGTATGGAGACCCAGACTGTGTGGTCAGCAGGACACAGCCCGTACAGGATGGAACAGACAACTAAACGTAATATAGCACCACGTACCGGCGGACTAGTCGACGCTGATGGGAGAAGTGGCACCCCCTGAGGCAGCTACGGATGCTAGAACTCTACAGCCAGAGTGAGTCGGAGTGAGACCTAAACATAAAACAAAAGGTACACCACACCAGGAAGCAAGTCAAATAAAGATGTGTGAACAACAGCCACACACCACAGAAAAGCATACAGAACAAAAACTCAATTACCGACACCATAGACACTGCAAAATCCAAACAGGAGGAAAATACTAACTCCCTGAGGACACTGAGCATGAGGCAAACGAGCAAGCAACCTCTTGCCGATGTTCCACCGTGTAACAACAACCGCGCTGGCCACCGGACTGTATGGTAGGGGTATTACACCTGGACCTCAAGACCAACGGGCGAAGGACAGCAGGCCGGGCCCAGGTAAATACAATGAGGAGCACTGTATACAACTACAGAAATAACCCAAACCCATGCCAATTTGACCAACATACCTTCCCTGCGCATCCATTCCTAGTGTACGGGTCTGAAAGATGAAAGATGGAGCGCTTGTATACACGGGCCCGGAAAGCCTGCTTCGGCCGCTCGGCAGCAGCTTCGTAGTGGTGGTCAAGGGTCGAAGACCGACGGATACGGATCAACTCCCCAGTGAACACACCGTTGCCCATACTACAGGGGTGGTTACTACCGACAAGCAGATACAGGAAACGATTGGTGAACTTGAAATGCGGCTTCACCGCCATGTATCCCTTACTACGGAAAACTGTGGTGTCCAGGAAATCAATGCCATCATGTGCCAGTTCATAAGAAAACTTGAGGGCCGAACACTTATTATTCCTATCTAAAGTGCGCTGAACTTGACCTTCGCAACCATGCAATGATAAAGCGTCTATAAACCTCTAAACCCTCCCCCTCTAAGATCGGCAAAACGTAACGCTTCTCCAAATACAGCATAACAATGTCGGCATAGACCACTGCTGCGGGCGAACCCATGGCAGTCCCTTGGATCTGCCGAAACACATCGTTACCATACACGGACTCATTTTTCTTCCGAATGACTGACATCAAGGAAGTCACAGCTGTTAATAACCATGTACGAAGGGCGAGGGGAATCCACCTTGTACACCTGTGTGTGATATACCACGACAACCGAGCTCGTTGGGGATGTTGGTGTAGTAAAGGCTGGTCACATCTATACTCAATTATAAATGATCGTCCCGCACAGGCAAACCTTCTACCAAGTTGATGAAATCCGCAGTTGAGGTCAGAACAGTACTTTCCTCACATACATACGGGTTCAGTAGAAAGTCAGTGAACTCAGCGGGATAGTAGCCAGGACTATTTAGATTAACAATAGGCCTAACCTTCAGGACCCAGGGCTTATGTGTTTAGAGAAGTCTCCTGGAAACGGGCATGCGCCCCCGGTGCGACTAAGAACAGTGACATATATTAGTGGGCATACGATGCTCAATGCGATGCCTAGTCATGGCGAGTAAACAATTGACTCGGGTCGCTCACACGAAGTCTCAACACAGCCTTGAGCCTGTTGGTTGCCATCGGCAGTCTAGCCGCATGCTCATCTAGCCCCTCAGGCAAAAAAACAGTCATTTATAATGTTTGGCAATGTGATGCTGGGCACGACCTATATCATCATAGTGAGATCCGTCCAGGACTACTATCACAATAGACTGCCTTTGAATATGCGTGAGTCCGATCGCGTTCTAGCTCCCAAACTATGTGCTGCATGTGTACACTCCGCCTATGGTCAGTCTACTCCAGAACAACGCCTAGAGAGGTTCATTGGGGGCATGATGTCCCCCCACCCCATTCCCCCCTTGCCCCCTGCACCTGAAGTACCAATATTGCCCCCCCCCCCCTCCCCAAACAAATTACAGGACACAGATGGAGCACGTAGCAGTAGGCAAAGTTGACGATGCCAGTGCAGACACGGCCTGACCTCGGTCACCACACTGGCACCGTATAGTCTCCAAGGGACATAGCTACCAGAGAACACACAGAATGGGAGTATATAGTGCTATCTCGGTGGATAGACAACCCCCTATACACAAAATATCTACTGATAGAGTTCTGTGTAGACCCTATGTGCACATATGTGTGGATGAGTACTGGTAAACGGACAGCTAACCCTAGTCTAAGTAAAATAAAGGTAGAATGTAGACCCTGGGCAAAAAAATAAGTAAATAAAAATATTGACTAGTTTGAGGGAAAGACACAAACGGGAAAAGTCTGAAGAAAAAATTGACTGTCACCAAAAAAATAATAATAGCTACACACACGAGGGAACTCGGATGGAGAGCCAAGGATTAAAATTGAAAAAGAGGACCATAAGTTTACGAGTTATCCATTTTGTCCAACACTTACTTACGGATATAAACGTGATGCAGCTAAGCATCAGGTCGTTGAATGTCATGATCTCATCAGTCAGTTTTTGTGCTGATTGTTGCACATTTTTGACTCAGCAGTATTCTGCATATAACCGTTAGTGTTGAACAAAACGGATAACTTGTAAACATGAGGGAACACTCATCCTTACCCAAGTCCCAACGTCAGCACTCGGCGCTGCTCCGAACCAAGAGGGACACTGGAGAGATCGTCTATCAGCTCCTCTCTTGTCACCTGGCCTGCGATCAAATCGCCTAATGCTAAAACACAAGAAGATAGGAAAGGCAAGTAGAATAAATAAATCAATAAAATAATAAACAACAAAACAAGTTTGAACAGCTGCAAACGTAATGGACGATCCGAACAAGACCAATGATATACCTAGCAATAAGTGTGCAGAGTGTGCAGCCCAAGGATAATCATCCCACGGCAAAGTTTATTGTTTAGGGCATAGACTCACAGTAACAGGCTCACCTTTGCTGCATCTCACACCGCTTCACACGGTGATCTGCTGTATCACCATGGTAATTTCTGTTGCACATTGCTGCTTGTTTAACAAAAGGCAGAAAACAAACCGAATTTCCAGGAATTACCATGGTGATACGGTACTTTAGCTTGAACCTATTGTATGACGGGTTTTCTATGATTCATAATGACCCAGAGAGAAACTAAACCGGTATCGAATTCCTGTCAGCGACGCAATTCTTCTGAGGTGTAAAGTGACTTCAGGAATATGTTGCAGAAAACTGCGATGCATGCTGATTATTTACTGTGCCCTATCGTGCACAATATACCAGGTGTGTTACTCAGGGATGAAGTAGATGCACACACGTGCCGTGCATCACGGCACAGGTTAGGTTTGCTACTAGCTGCTACAGTGTGCTTGTGGTCCGAACTTGCACTCTACTCAACTCTGCATACGCAAAGAGTGCTGGTGCCGAAATGAACCAGAAGGGTGCTGAGTGGGACGCAACAACACTGACTCTGTATACCCATGTACACAGATATGATAGGGTATGCAGTACCTGCTCTAAGATTTAACACAAACCGGGTACACGTCTACCTGGCACAACTCCTGCAACACTGGGCCAGAGCCAGATGCGTTCAAGTGCGGCTACTGTGTGTCAGGGAGTCGTAAACTTACTTTCGACTTCCTGATGTACATGATTGTACATGTACATGTATGAACGTACTCGCACTGGGCACTCTGGCCGCACGCATCTGCACGCGTATGCAGCCTGTCAGTGGCGGTATACCCTCGAAGTATAAAAAAGTATAGTACTCGACAGGACTTCCGACCGGGTTGCAGGTAACCCAGTGTTCTTTTTCCAAAAGGTCCAAGTACTCACAAACAGGGTCACTGACCCGGCTCTGGAGCAGACACTGGTAATCTAGGTCCAAGTTTGCTCGATTATGTTCTGACGCTTCATGTGCTTTCATAGCCAAGGTTTCTCACTTTCTTCGCAAGCTCTTTTAGTCTTGAGAGTTGACAACTGCTTATGGTTGTGTTGGCAGAAAACATATCAGCTAATCTGACAACCGTCCAACCCCATTTTACTGGTAAGTAGTCAGCGAGTGGCTTTGATGGGGCCATACTAAAGGGGAAGTTACGCGGCATGAAAACACGTTCTCGCTCGAAGGGTTTCTAAACTTTATCCCTGCGCTCATTGATGGAGTTCATCGATGGAGTTGCCAGCGGCACTCTACAGAAGAACAATGTTGTCAAGTTTTTTATGAAAAATTGTCAAACATTTTCAAATTGCTATAAGTTTGGTTAGGGCCGGGTTCCACTGCGGCTCCGCAGCTCCGCTGCTCCACGGTACTTGGCTGCATGCAGCAGAGTGGCTTGGTTCCAGTGACACTCGCCATTCACGGTACCGCGGTCGTGCTCGACGTTTTTTGATGACATTTAGCCTGCCTGCGCGCGCGTGAAATCCAAAAAAATCCTCGTGTTCTGGCCTGTGCAACGAATTAAAATTCCCCCGAATAAAACAATTAAGTGCGGGAAACAATGCAAGCCGTGACCGCGGCTTGCATTTTTTTGTATCAAGCAGCGAAGCGAAAGCTGGTGATGAGCCGCGGCCTCGCTGGACCAGCTCGTAATGATGACGTTTCATGCCGTGGATGATGTGCGGCGGAGCGGCAGTGGAACTCAGCCCTTAGGCAAAGGAAATTTGTCATTAATTTGTTTATGCTGCATAGATGGAGAGCTGCACACTCTGGCTTATGCACTCTCGCCTACAGTGTAGTCGTACTGCTAGTGTACTGGCATTACAGAAGACACGAAAAACGAGAACATAATTATGGCGAGAAAGTAATTACTGGCTAAGAATTGCCCTAAGACTTACCGCTTCTCAGTGCTCCATACCAGGAAGTAGTACAATACCTACTCCCTGCTCCATACGAGTGTTTTCTCCTCATTCTCTGCATCCTTTACCCTAGGAGTCTCGTCCATTTAGCGGCTCAAATGCTTGAGCTCCGGATAGCGGAAAATAGCTCGTCGTCCATTAGCGGCTCTAATAGTACCTGGTCTGAAGTGTCGCAGTCTAGCAACTATGATTTTTTCCAGGAGGGTAAGGGTTGCAAACCCAAAGAGACCCTAAGCTTCGTCTATCAAACAAAACAATTGCCCTAAAAAATGGAAGAGGAAAAGAGTGAGCGAGCTGGTCTGAGCGCGCTACTTTTCAAAAAATAGAAGCTGAAAGCCATCAAAGTCAAAGCATTCTGGCTAGCGCGTTTGTGTATGTCACGAGCGCTAGCGCGCTAGTCGCAGCAAACGCTCGCAGGCCAGAGTTAGCGCTATTTGGGCTGTTTGCCGCACGCGGCAGCTGGATGGATCACGTGATCCAAGCTGACAAATAAGGTCCGATGGTTCAGCTACATTGAGCCACAAGCGTTTATAATTATACTCTTGTTCACATGAATCGAAAGTTTTTCGAAACTGCTGGCCAGGCTAAATCCACATTTGGAATCTTCGCTCCGTTTCTACCCTAGGCATGATGCATGAACAATCAGCAATGCAGAAATCGGCCAGGGTTGTCAGAACAGAAGAAGATCAGAGATGAGGAACCAGCCATGAACATAGCGAGTGGGAAGCGAATGCATGGCGGTTACGTAGCCGAAAAGGTCGTTACCATATTGGCATTGGTAGACCAGTCACCTGCGACCACGAATTAATAATATTCCCCGGGCCCCGTACAATCATCATGATCATGTACTTCGCAAGCGCTCGGCTCGCGCCGCTGATCTCTTTTTTTGTGACCAACATCCGGATCCCAACCCTTCTCACTGACTCCGTTACTTCAACTATTACTTGTTCAAGTAACCATGGTAACTAAGTACTTGTACTCTTACAACTGTTACTCATGTAACTATTTGTTCTTTCCTTTTTTCCCTTTTGTTGTTATGTTGCTGTTCCTGTTTTAGATCAATACCCTGCGTGGGTAGGTTGTTGCAAGAGCTTATTTGTACATGTATGTCTAGATGATCTCTGTTGTAGAGAACAGAGGGAGAACAAACGGGTAGCCGCGTAGAACGTGTTCGTTTGGCTAGCGAGTTAGCGCATCCGTGCAGCCGGACCAACGCATGTGAGTCGGAACCCTCCGTCGTCGACGCGTCGTCTATTCGTCGTCTATTTTTGAGCAGCTGCGACAGCACGTGTTCGAAATCCGCTGCGATCGCGAGCGCCGGCGGTCACTGGCAGCCTATTCTGTATTTCAATCCTGCACTGCGGCTTCACGGAGCAACGGCAACCGGCGGAGCATCATATCATGGAAAGTAGCACGGGCGACGAAAGCAGGAAAATAATTCTGCCCCTGACCAGTCGCGAGGGGACGAGTAGTGACAATGCGGTGGTGGAGGATGGCTATCATTCTGAACTGGATCCAACCTTGTTGACGGCTGCCGGACAGGTCATGACTATGAGCGCTGGTCGCAGACTGTCTGAGTCAGGTCCGATTAGCACGATAGATCTACCACATCCCCCTGCTGCTGCTAATGCCGTTGGTTCGTCGACAGAAGTCTCACGAGGCCATGGTCATGGCCAGGAAGTACATGTCGGTGAAACAACAAGTACTGGTATGCCTATGACCGGGCGTCCACCCCTGGCTGTTCTTGCTGCTGCTGCTGCTGCCGCTACTACTGGGGGATTTATCTATACGGAAGGCAGACAACTCCCCATGGATGGAAGAACGGCTGGGTTGGCCGACGATGCTCCAGGAAGTAATTCATTGAAAGCAACAGGTTGTAGCCAAGGGAGGACTACTTACGTCACATGCCCGACACCGTCTCCTCCCCAAAGCTTGATGCAGCCAAGAAGAAACGACGGTGAAGTACTGAGACGGGCCGCGAGACCAAATACATTGGCCCTGGCTGACCCAAAGAGACGGCCAATTCAGCCTGTGTCCGCTCTCGCGAGCAGGGCTAGTACACCATGCTCGTCAGGGCAAGAGGACGACAGCGACGGCGATAGTGATTACGGCGACGCGTTGAAGCCGGATGGTACTGAATCAGCCTGCACTGGTTCTTTGCCTGTACGACAAACTGCCAGGAGTAGCTTGATAAACCAGCGAGATCGCGGCCGTGTGCGGCTCATCAACCAACACCTCGACAATCTGCAGCGACTGATCGAGACAAGCGGCTATCCAATGGCTGCACTGCAAGAGCCCACCCCGTGCTGTGTGAGTGGAAAGCACAGCACGTGCTTCCGCAGCCGCCCGGCCAGATCATCATCACATAGCGGCCGCAGTAGTAGTAATAGTAGTCGCAAGGCACGCACACTGGTGGTAAGCCGCTGTACGACCAAGGTCGACACTCTGCGCTGCATATACCATCACATCGCGTTCCTGAAAAAGCAGGCGGCGTATCTGCAGAGCTCTCTTTTGGCGTTGCGTAATGCGCCCGCTGTCGCTCCCGCTGCACCCACTATCCAAGGGGATGCATTGAGCCAGCAATAAACTTACTCAGATCTAGGTCATATCGTGCATGGCAACCTGTCGGCCAATGGAGTTTTGGCTTCATCAGCACGACTCGAGTCTGGCAATAGGACGATGCGAAACAATATGCATACAGCACAACAACAGCAACAAGTGCATGCCCGGATGCTTCTCTTTCTATTGCTTGCTTGTCTCCTGGCTGGCCAGCTTTTCAGTTACTTGCGGTGAATTGCACTCTATGTTAGTCCTCTATCTCGTGTTCGAGATAAGTCCACTGTCCTGGATTGTTCCAGAGCCATCCCATTACAACTACTTCAAGTACAATGTACTATAGTAATAGTGAACATACAATCCAAGCTAACTGTCAGCCATCCATCATTGTCCATACTTTTCAAGTAGGTCTAATTAGGGCCATCAGTTGTGTTCCTTCGAGAAGAGTTGGGTTCGTGAAGCCATTACACGCTTTTTTGAACTAGTATCATCAAGTTTCATTCTACGCATGGAGTTCAGGATTGAGGCCCTACGAAGGAAATCGGTCCTTTGCATTCTATCTGCGCTTGGACAGTGTGTGCTGAGCCGGGCAAAACAAGCTCCACCAACGAGATCACTGGGCGCAGCACAGACACGTTTTGGACAGCCTGATCTGGGAGCGGCCGGGTGCTCCGTGACATGGGCCCTGCAGCACCCCAAGGCAACACCATTCAAAGTCCACGCAATGAACTGAAAGACATGTAGTACATGATGTGCATGTAGCGACCGACCCTGGCAAACAACGGAGCCAGAACTCAACAGTGAATATGTCACAGGAAGAAAAGAATATCAGCGAACAGTAGTAGAATGCACAAAAAATAAAGCCATTGCGATGGTTCTATGTTAAAAAATATGATTCAATTTAATAGTTTGGTGACTAGCAAGAAAGAACACTAAATCTATCTAAAATGACAAGAAGGTGCGCAAATGATGACTAGCATTGCTGAAATTACTGAGCATGTACATTGCATTTTAGTCTCTGCACATGTCTACACACAAACCTAAAATTCAAATATCACAGAGAACAGTACGGTTTCATGGGCTTTCATGACAAGGTGCTGCGTTACGTGAGCATGCAATATGCATTTCCAAGCATGATCTGACGAACAAAAAAACACATGACAAGACTTCTTTGGACACGTCAAGACAGCTACTTTCGGCGTTTCAAATCTTCAAAACGCCGCGTGAGGTCATCGAAATCAAGATCGGCCGAATCCGCTCCCACCCCAGACATCTTTTCTGCCGATTGATCGCCAGGTACAGAAGGCAGTTCAAACGATGGCTCAGCTACAGGAACACAACACAACAAGGACACACCACGTTTGGCTTACCATCGCACTAGTTGCAGTCCTACACAATTTCTGCAGTCAACGAGTACTGCATGTGGGCCGGGCGGCGTCAGAATAGCTAACAGAGAAAGAAAAATTTCAAATTCAGTACATGCAAAACATCGGGACGGTGAGCCAAACTGCGTGTTGCTAGAGTGTCACGGGCAAAATCAGGCCTATGAGTAGTCCAACCACACATAATTATGGTGTGGCATCGCAGTACAAGGAAAGCACTAAACGACAGAGACCTTGACATGGGGAGGGGGGGGGGGGGGGGGGGGGGATGCACGAGCATACTCAATCATGCAGAAAGCGAACGCCTGGAATTGGTAGGCAGCCCACGCAGCATGTGGGAAGTACAGGGGCGATCTTCAACAAACTCCTTTGGCTTGGTCTAGTGTCTACGTTTATTTCCAAACATTTTTTTTGAATGTACTGTCTATACATGACTGCACATCATTGCTTTTCTTCCTTTTTTGGGTGTGGACGGGTGTCAGCTGATATGACATCCATTTGGAAAAAAGATGGCAGCTTTCTTGTTTCATGATTGTAGACAATTACGGACGTCCGCTAGGGATAAGTATGTGTCTTACCTGGATAGCCTGCCTCCCGTGCAGCCATATCCTGGAGAAGAAGAAAACGGAAAAAAGAGCACAGGCCAAAGAATAAGTTACACGAACAGTTTAAAATTCAACTCAGCTGCTGATATCTTCGCTGGAAACTTCCGAGCAACTCTCCCAGGGCCATACTTAAGAGAATTAGAGGAAAAGGCACATGAAAGGTAAGATACAGGGAGCCTGACACTGAACCCCCCTCCCCCCAGCTGTGTTCATGAGGTGAAGTTGACATGCTGCAGCTACATGCACATGTGCAACTACTTGTACAAGTGCATGCACAGTAAAACTCCCCTAATCCAGGCAGGCTGGGACCGAGCACTGCCCATAACTAGGAATTGCCCGTAACTCAGGACACATATACTTACTGAATACAAGTAAACATTCTTATCATACCAATCAATAGTTTTTGGGGCTGTTTTTCTTGACTCTAGATGGGTCAGAAAGGTGCCTGGTAGACGGGCGTGTCCGGATTAGGGACGTCCGGATCCAGGGAGTTTTACTGAATAGCGCTGGTGGCGAAGGCTGGATATACTGCCAACTTCAGCATATTACAATGCAAACCATAGTTCTAGAAGTCAACGCAAGGATGCTTACATGACTACAACTGTGCAATGTGCATGCACATTGAAATTTGAAGTTGAAGCACTCAACAGTCGGGAGCGGAACTGGCCAAGCAGGTATCGAGAAATGGCCCTGAAACAGCTGCTTCAGAACTGCACGTCTTGTCCTGTTTAATCACACACAGCTCATGCACATCAGTTGTTGGTTCTTTTGCTCAACCTGAAACGACAACGATTTTGATTTTTGAGCCAGGAAACATGACACAGGCTACTTACCGCTTTGCTTGGCAGAGGTCCAGCTCGGTCGTCGACGGCAGGAGGCGCGCCCGGTGCAACCCAAGCACCGGCCACAGTACCCGGAGGCGGCACTGGCATGCCGTGCCCTGCGCCTGCTGCGGGCCCGACGGCCCGGGGCGGCTCGTACGGGTAGGACTGCGTTGTGGGCGCACCAGAGCTGGCAGGGTAGCCGGGGGCGGCGGTGTTGGGAGGCATATGCGCTGCCGGAGGCATGGCTGGGTGGCCAGTTGGGTGCATGGGATAAGCGGGCTGTGAGTGTGCGGGCGGCATCGCAGGTGCAGCTGCTGCACCCGGGGCCTCGCTTGGTATTGTGGGCAATGCCGTCGGTATGAACTCCTGGTCATCCGCCAGTGCTGAGAAATCATTTCCCTGAACACATAAAACAGCACACGGTGCAGTCAAATTGGTTGTAACTAGTTAGCAACCCTACCATGGTACATAGGCGACTGCTTTTCGTAGACAGGGAGTCTCCCTAAGGAGCTGCTCTTCGTAGACTGTATAAGGCAGTTGGCCTTTCCTAATAGCATTAGATACACCTTTAAGTGGCCTTTGTAGTCAATTCAACATGTAAGGTTGAACAGGGATGGTGCCACAGGTGGCCGGTTTCTAGTGACAGGCAGCGTGTTATTGCGACGATTCTTTATGACTGATGACTTTGCATAGTGCACCCGGATAAAATTTGTAATGATGCTGGCAGGGATACAAATAACTGGCAAAAGCAGAAAGGGCTTCAAGCTGTATGCTGCCATCAAACACTGTAAACAAGAATCACAATCGTCATTGTTTGAGACTCAGATCAGAAGGCTTCTTGCACAGGCATGACCTACCATGAGCGCCATCGTGTCGGCTTCATACGGAACGTGGTGCGACTTGGCAATCTCGACAAGATACTGCTCGACAAGAACCTTGGGCGGTGCCTCCACGCTCATACGATGCACCAGCTAGTAGGAGTACGCAAAGCAAAACAACCCCAAACAAAGAACTGTGAAAGACGAAACTTACACATCAACAACTCGAACAAGTGTCATATAGCGTGTAGCGTGGTGATGTCTGCGGCTTTTATCCTTTTCATAGCTTTAGTCAAAGAGTGCGCATGCAATTCAGACTTAGGGGAAGATATTTCACACAACCCTTTTATGACTGCAGGAACAACATAGAATATGAAGACACCCATTTCCCGATTGGGGTCCAGTCTTTGCTAGCTACAAGTACAAATCGACGTTGCACGATCGCAATCGATTCTGGCTTCACAGCAGGCACTGGGCTGCCATGCCTAGGCCATTTAGCACTATGCTGAACGAAAATCAAAAGATTATAGAGGGGTGCACACGCCCCCTATGCCCCTCATGGGCTGTGCACCTGGCTCTCAGCACAGGACAAGCAAACAGAAAGCAAGCCAAGAGTATCAATTCACGACGTGTGCCTACCCGTTCGTTGACAGAGTTGGTTGCATTGGCCCGCGCCTGCTCTCCAAACGTTTTGCCATACTTCAGCACAAGCTGCTCTGACGCCTGACCAGGGCACATCACAGAGGGAAAAATCATCGACAAACAGCTTCAGTATTTGACAATCTTCATAATGTTAGTAGTTCCCAGCACATACACACATCTTACATTCACACTCACGGGCAAGCTTGCAAGTGTGCGAGCATGCATGTGAGCATGCATGTGAGCACGCACGTGAGCACACACACACACACACACACACACACACACACACACACACACACACACACACACACACACACACACACACACACACACACACTTGAACACACAAACACGTGACACACGAACACACATATACACACACACACACACACACACATACACACACACACATACACACACGCACACACACACACACACACACACACACACACACACACACACACACACATGAACATACGCATACGCATACATCACTTACAAATGCACATAACTCACCCCCTTGAGCTCATTGATTTCCGACTGCATGCGCGGCGTTACCCAGATCAAGGAGCACACCGCCTCCGCAAGTCCCTCGTCGCAATGCCTACACATTGCAATACAAGCACATGATCCGGAGCAAGAGCAAAAGGTTAAAACCCTGTTTACCACGAGTGTGCAACTCGACGATCCCCCAGCCAAAGAATGATGCAATAAAACTACTAGTAGTATGCAGTGGGTGAACCCATCGCAGCTTGAGACAGGAGTTGTACACTCTTGGTTATGTCCTCTTGCCGTTACCATTCCATGATCACATGACGTATCACACAACATACTGTAATTTCACAAATTTTCGGTGTACTTTTATTTTCAGTACTTTCGGTGCGTCTGTTTCATACCTAAAATTTCAATACACCGAACAAACACTACCACACATAATCCAATAGGGAACTGCTTCTCTGTACCGAAAATTTCTGTTCACCTAGCCTGGCCTGTTGCCCTCATACCGAAAATATTGAGCACCGAAAATTTCTGAAATTAGAGTATTACATGACATACCAGATGTACCGGTATGCGTGACTACTGATGGAAAATAGCCACATTGTTAGGCCTTAGGGGCTGTCCCAGCCTGTCCGGCATTATCAATTTTCAAAGCATAAACAAAGCATAAACAGTTTTAGCTACGACCTACTCTCTTGAAGTGAAAATATACGGATTGAGTCGTACATAAATGGACGGTTGCTTATGACAATCCTCAAAGAAATGGTCCAAATGCACAAAAAGGGAAAACTACAGTCATGTGGAACTTACTTCATGGACTCAATCAAACCAAATCGCGCCAAGAGCAAATCACAGTACAGCTCCACGACTTCCATCGCCTCCACAATGTAGTCCTCACGAATTATATGCTCAACCTGTGTTGACAAGAACACACACATACACACAAGCACACACGTATACAGTGGAACCTCTATTTAGCAACCGTGAACAGGGCACCGATCGTTAGTAAACACCGGCTCAAACGTAGGCAGCAACATGGTGTGGAAACTGAAGTGACCGGTCTCCTACCAGAGTGGTCATCAACACAGCCTTGACTGCACTGCACATCGCTAGGGTGAGGCCACAGCCACTGACAAATCTGTCCCCAATAATCTAACAAGACCGAGGCAGGTAGCTGTTCAGAGATTGAGTAAAAGAGACTTAGTATATGAAACTCACGCGTATCCGGGCACGCTCATATTTTCCGGAAGTCAGGTAGTCGGCAATTTCCTTCCGTGCCTTCACAGTCTGCTCAGCTGTGGAACAAAAACGATACCCATGCACCGGAGATTTAGTAACAGGATACTGTAAATATACAAAATTTCGGCACTTCACGATTTTTGACATTTCGGCGGCGATTTATTTTCGGCGTGGGGTAGAGGGCATGGTATAGTCGACAGATGCTGTGAAAAATTTCGTCAGCGTTTTAATTTAGGCGTTTTGGGTCGGTGCCGAATATAGCCGAAATTAAATAGCTGCCGAAAATTTGTATATTTACAGTACCCCGTTGTATGTTTGCTCCAGACTTCCAGATCGGCGCTTACGTCCCGTACCGTCAGCGTTAGGTGCTTATGTCCAATGTGAACTAGGCTTTAAGGTCAATGCGTTGGACAGATTTCCCCTGTGATGAGCGGCGAGTTGTACGAACTCACTCCACCATAGGTCACCAGTCGCAAAAGTTGAGCTCTCGCGACAGCAGTCTTATGACTGTATGCAACAAGGGACAATCGGTTCTTGTTGTAACTGTTGCGAGTCGCAGCGCCGAAAGTGACAATGTCCATTACTTGTATGTTTATTTGATCGAGTAAAGAAATACGTCACATGCACCAGGGAGTTGTAGAAACCGAGGAGAGGACACAGCACCGATTTCCGAGGATCCGGTTTGATACCAGTACAATTCTTGTTACGCTGAGTACTTTTTCTTATAGGCAGAAGAATTCGTGAATTGAGAGACCACAAGAAAACCATCGGGGAGCCAGCTGTCCATGACTTTTCCTCTTCTTATTACTATTAGTGGGAGAAAACCATCCTGTGGAGCGTACTGACCACTCACACTGCGCAAACAGGATAGTACTTATGAGATCGTGGATGCGATGGAAATTTGTTGACATTTTTAGACTTTTACCAACGACAGGGGTTCAAAGGGACGTGTTGCTTTCCCTTCATCCCACCACACCCACCTGTTTATTTTCACAGAAACACACCTAGGGATACAAGGGCACAATCTGGCCGGGCTCTTTGCTGTAATGGAGGCATGCAGAAAATTATAATATGGTACGGAGGGCCTGTTTTCAGCCAATCAGCGCTCGTCTAGCCATGGTTATATTGGCCAGTATAAATCCCGCGCGGGATTTATATTGAATATAAATCCCGGTGCACGGTACGTACGCTAGGGGCCGGGCACTGCCACCGTACAAGTTCACTGCCTGAAAGGCAGTGAACTTGTACGACGGCAGTACTCCAGCGCACGGACCATATTCACAACAGACACAACATACACCACATGCACGTGTACACTCCACAAAGAACGGCATTACCATTACTGACGAGGAACAGTACACAATGGAAAAGAAGAATGACCTGGAATTCGTCTACTGAGTGTTCTATTATACTGAAACTGAGGAAAAAGAACGTCAAATAACCACGAAGTATCCCCAATGGATCAGCAATGTACATTGAACTTCAAATAGTTGAAGATCATCAACAGACTGTCTCCTTCGTATTAAACTAAGTTTATGATACAGAGTGTACTTTAAATCCTCCTAAACCGATTGGAAAACGCTAGAATGGAGTGAAATGTGGTACAGTGATACAAAACAGTGTATGCAAATGCATCTACGTGCAAGTAAGCAAACCTGATTATAAGATGCCGCATGTGAAAATCAGCACTGCACAATATCATGAGATAATAGTAACACTTACTCCTAAAGAGTCCAAATTGTGCTGTAGTCTAACTAGTGACGGTAGTTTGATTCAACGACAACTCCAGCACCCCAGCAATTCAGTTGGCTTCCGCATCGCTCACGAGACAATATGCTACAATATGCACTGGAACTGAAAGGAAATCTTATGCCAAACATCGGATCCACGGAGGAATCTCCTTCTGCTCTTGCTCGACCATTCTTTCAATTGACAACTGATAACCAGCAGAACATGTTCATGTACTGTATGATGTAGGACAGTAGGAGATCTCCAAATAGGTTCGTTGTTCTGGAAATGCGTAGGGGTACCTGGCATAAGTAGGATATGACCCTCATAGTCGGGTCATACCGTACCCTCATATAAATCCCTCCTGCTATCGCAGTCGGGATTTATATTCAGCCGGTATAACCCTCTGACTCGGGTTATATCCTTTATATACGACCATCGCCTTTTTCCGGAGCACCTTGTGCCATATTTGGCAGGAACAACCTGCTCTAGTACATTCGTATGACCGTACCCAGGTCATGACCTCTTTTGCATATGGCTGGAATCACAGTGTGTACGGCTGTAAGGGTTGGTTCACATAAGCAAAATCGGCGCCGCAAGACATGGGCGGTAGGCGCTAGCTAGGCCAGCCAATTGAAGCTTGAATTCTTTGTTTCTTCAGCAGTTCAAGGTCTTTCAGTGATGGCCAGTCAGTGCTACCTTTTACTGGAGATCATGAAACTACTTCTACATCTTTTATTGCAGTCTAGTAAGCGGTGGTGTCGAAATAATGCGTGCAAACGTTGATGAAGTCACACGAACTTGTCTACTGTAAATAAACAAATTTTCGGCAGCTATATAATTTCGTCTATATTCGGCACCGACCCAAAACGCCTAAATTAAAACACCGATGAAATTTTTCACAGCATCTGTCGCACTATACCATGCCCTCTACCCCACGCCGAAAATAAATCGCCGCCGAAATGTCAAAAATCATGAAGTGCCGGAATTTTGCAGCGCCGAAATTTTGTATATTTACAGTATGTATTCTTCGTATTTTTTATATATTTCAATTGTATTTGTCTCATAAGTTGCACTACAGTCAAGCAGATTATCCGAGAAGGACGGGTTGGTATGCTGCCTTAATTTGCCACGTTGAAACGCCTACAAGAATGGCGAACGGACCTCATCTTTAGCTTCAATTTAGGAAAATTTAGGATGAGTCTTGGTTCGAAATTTTAAACAAAGTCTGGCTCCCGGCACCGGCGATCACCGGCACCAACGGTTCACAAACCACTTTTGGTCAAAATTGTACGGGATCGGCGCCGGGGCAGATTGCAAGAGTTGGGCACTGTCCAACTTTGCCGGCGGTCCCTTGCGATATTTTACCGTATGATTTTGTTACGACTGCACTGATCCACATAATCGCAATGCGCCGGAAGAGGTTGCAAGAGACCCACTCCCGGCGTGTACCGGCGATATGTGAACCAACCCTAACTGTAGCGCAACCTAGTGCCAGTAACGACGAGGAACTGATGCACACGTCTCATTCTTTGATGTTATTGGAGGCTTCAAAACATCTTTCTACATCTATTATCAGGTATCCCTCGCCAGATAGCGATAGTTGACGAGAGTCATATCTTTCGTACTCGTGTTATTCTGTGGTGAAGGGGTCTCCGAAAAATCAGAAAGTCAGCACATTTTAAAGTTTCAGTGATTCCTACTTTGGGGCTTTCCCAAGTACATGTACCGTGAGGCACACATCGCCGGAGCTTTTCCATGCCGTGTCCCGTGCCAGACTTATACAGCTCCCTGCATATTCTCACCAAGAACATCTTTGTCTTATCTCTGCAGCCAGAACATTCCGGGTGCACAGTGTCTTCAGTTACCCCTAACAACTAACCCGTGCACACCCGTATCCGGGTCACATGCAAGTACAATCATGTACATGTAGCTAAGACTAAGACTAAGACTAAGTAAGAGCAGAGCTGCAGAGATACTATCTGAGACTTACTTTTCTTCTTCTGGGCGAGCTTCAGTCGATTGATGCAGAGCCGCAAATCAATCTTCAGCTTTGAGGATTTGTGTCCACCTCCGAACATCTTGGCAGAGCAAGTTCGAGCGGCTTCTAGAGATCAGGGGCTTTCGAAGTTCAGACTCTCCAGCGACCACTCAGAAGAATAATACTAAATGTGAACACTTTCCTTACGCGGGTTAGGAAAAGAAAACAGGTCTCGAACAGACCACTGGTAGTTTACACAAATAAGTAGCCCTTACCCAAGAGAAACCAATGCTTTCCTCTCTATTTCGATCAGTCTCCTGAAATGAAGTGGAGAAGAAGTCTTGTTCGAAGGATACTTTCGACTGTGTGTACGTGTGATGATCTGTTGGCACTCCTTCAAACACGATTTCATGCAATTGAATGTGAAATTACGTCATATCTCCCGTCTGATTCAAAACTCACATGCAAGTGACGTAACAGAATATCATTCAAAATTATCACGAGTCATAAAATTACCACTAAATTTGCGAACATCGACGACTCTCGGCACTGGGTCAGAGGTTTTGCCGATCCATTTGCGCAAAGGACTACATTGGCGCATGCCCAACGTAGAAGTCTTTCTTTTCGTCTTCACCTTCTATGCAAGATGGCGCAGAGAGTTACCTTTCGACGCCGTTTGAGCTATAACACACAGAGCAACAGAAGGAGGCTGTGAGTTTCTGTAGAATTGGAAAGCTGAGGAAACCTAGCGCAGAATTTTTAGAAGAGTTCCGCTTTTTGTCCTGTGCTGTTTACAGCTCGAAGACCCCAGGTGGACGTTTAGTGTACCTCTATCACAAGAAGCAGGGAACCGTTCCAGCATGCGGTGACTGTCATAAGAAGCTTCAAGGGGTAGGCTGAAGATATTGTTTGGAAGAACCGTGAGGGAGAAGTCTGGAAACAATGGACGATCTTTGTGTTTCTTGGATGCAGATTAAGGCTATGCGCCCTAAGAAGCTCGCTTCAGTCTCGAGGCGTCAGAAGACCGTTTCTCGAGCCTATGGTGGCTCTCGATGCGGCCGATGCGTCCGCGAGAGGTGAATTACTATGTGCATTGTCTTAGTAGCTTTTGGTAATACCAATTGTCATTGTAACTCAACAATAATGTAATCTCGACTGAATAATTTTGAATATCTTGAGTAAATAATTCCCCGGAAAATTTTTACTGTACCAATTGGTGTGAGATCGTTGTTGGCCAAAATTGTTTCGCAATGCTAAGAATCTTAGGACATATAGCGTATCTGCAGTGGATTGTTGTACTGCCATCTCTGCTATGAGATAAACAAAATATCATGGGGCAAGTTTGAAATTTTTTCGTATTGTCTCGAATTATGGATTCAAAAAATATACGAAAATAACAATATTTTGAATGAAAATGTTAATTGTTAGTCCGCTGCACGCTCTACACACTCTTGTATTCGAAATTGATGCTACATTATTTCACTTGTAGTGAATGCCCGGTCCCCTATTGCATGTGTTTGTTTACCACCAGTATGTACTTGTCTCTTTGTTTCTCCAATTGTGGACACTTGTGTCGTTCGTGGACGAAATCATGTCAGTTGTTGATGTGTACAGTGATAAAAGCTGTTGTCTGTGACTTTGAGTTGGATGTTTGTGGATACCTTTAGTGGCCTTTTGCAGCGTCAAATTGTTTACTGTGTTGTGTGGATCGTAATTTGTTACCGTCCTGTACTTGTGTGTGGGTAGTTATCAATGGTGTATGTATACGACAGCCGTGCCATTGTGGCATTACCTGCCACCAGTACATTGTGGTATGTGTGGCTGGCATTGCCAGTGCTGCTCCCCTCACTGTCTTTGATCATAATGTACTGATATCTGAAAAGTAAATTAATTATAGCTTCATCAGTAGACAATGTAGTACATGACCAATCCCAATATGTGTACTTGTATGTGTGTCTTTGCCATAGCATGACACATAAATGTTGGTTCCAGCGGTCTTGGTATCTCACATAGAAACCTCCTGTTTAGAAACATATCTGCTCCATTTCCATAGGTCTGTCTTTGTATATGCTATGCACTGTGCTCTATTTGGACTTTTTCCCTATTCCTAAACATGTTTCGGTGATTTGTTTCTCTCTTGTAGAATCATCCGCGCTTTCCTTATTGAGGAGCAGAAGATCGTTGCTCGCGTGGTGAAGGCCAACAAGAAGCAGTAACTCTATTCTGTACCATTAAATCCTTCGCTCTGTCAATCCACTATGTGCTCTGGTGTGTGCGTACATGTGAGTTTGCATGCTTTCAGCCTGTACACTGTATTTGTGGGATTCCTAGTGTTCTATAGTTTAGTATGTAGTGTTGATGGCCATTTAGCAGATATAGGACGTGATTTGACATGGTTGCGCTGTAGACATATCCGTCTAGAAAATACAGTGGAGTCAAGTGGCCAAGAACGTTGTTTCGCACGAAAACCAGCACCGTCGTTCTTAACTTTAGCGTGTGGCGTTCTTAGCATTTCAGGCTGTACGTTCTTCGGCGAGCGACTCTACAGGATACTGTAGTATTTAGACGGTTGCATGCTGCCACATGTGGGTTTGAGTAACTTTCCAGAGATTAGCTCTGCGTGTCATTTGGTGGCAAGTGAAACTCGGTTTTATTCCCGTAGCTATGCAGAAGACGTTACTTCAGTAACGTCTGGCGCTAGCCAGGGTCCACACAGCTTTAATTTGGTATTTGTGTGTTTGTTTGTTTGTTTGTGGCACGCCTGGCGCTATCCCGTATCTGACGGCAAAAAAATCATAGGGATGTTATAAATTTTTCAATTCTCCTTTTTTTTTCAGGCATATCCTAGGATTCGAACCCGCACTATCGCCCTACATGCATTCCCCCATGCACTTCGCATTCATACCCATTCTTCCAAGTTGCTTCACGTTATGATCTTGCGTTTGAAAGCCCTATTTGAATATTGCGGGCAGCTGTATGTGGCCAGCTGTGTTTGATGGTACGGAAGGCGGTGTCGTATTACCCTCGATCGTACCTGTCCCGTACCTATCCCTACCGTACCATCAAAGACGACTGGCCACAATGCATATTCAAATAGGGCTTTCAAATGCAAGATCATAATGTGAAGCAACTTGGAAGAATTAGTATGTATGCGAAGTGTATCGGGGGATGCATGCAGGGCGCGATAGTGCGGGTTCGAATCCCAGGTTATGTCTTAAAAAAAAAGGAATTTTTTAAAGAATTTATAACATCCCTATGCTTTTTTTTGTCTAGGTCATCAAGGCAAAAAAGCATAGCGTAGGGCCCTGAGCTTCCAAGCTCTCTCGTTTGAATGTTGTTTTTTGCACTCTGAGCCCTGACATGAAGTCTGTATTATTTTGTGTGGGGCTGGATTTCACTTTCCACGACTAGCACACAAATTGCATGTACCGTCAACTTCGCTAATAATGACTGCAGATATAACGACAATTCGCGAATAACGACAATTTTCTTGCCCAGGACAAAGTCCCATCCAACTGTGACACATATAATGAGACTTCGGGTATAACGACAATTCGCGAATAAGGACACTTTTCTGATGCCCCGCCGAGTGTCGTTATAAGCGAAGTTGACTGTACATAAAATAGCTCCTGGGGTGAGATGCAATACAGTAGAGTCGCGCGCTGAAGACCGTCCAGCCTGAAATGCTAAGAACGCCACAGCCTAAGTGGCCGTCCGTAAATATCGAACTTTTTTCACCAAACGAATTATTTTAGTTTAGACCCAACCCCTCCCTCCCCCTCAGAACGTAACAAATGTTGACATACATGCATACACAACGGCCATGTACATGGATCAATGTTTTCTGAAACGAAATTGGTCAACCCCCTCCCACCCCATAACGAAATTATTTCGTTTTGTGAAAAAAGTTCGATATTTATGGACGACCCCTAAAGCTAAGAACGGTGGTGTTGGTTTATTAGAACGTCCCTTGGACACAATGTTCTTGGACGAGCGACTACTGTATGGTAACGCTGTGTACTCGCGAGTACAGTTTCACTTCCTGCGGGCACCTGGCAAACACACCCACGGCCGTGTGAACTACGGACTCTCGTTTCACTTCCTGCGGGCACACCTGACAAACGTGGATTTGCCTGCCATATTAATCGCCTATTAGCCCGGGGCGTTCTGTACCCACAGGATTCCGCGGACGCGCAATTTTCCGCATTTTCGAGAAATTTTGCATAAAAGCCGCACTTTTATCTGTCTTATGACAGTGCTCGTAATCGTTCTCACCACAGTCAAGGTTCACCTCAAAAGTTCAAAGGTGCTCGCAAAAATGAATGAAGACTGGATGCCAATATTCCTTTAATATATATACCAGGGAGTAGTACAATATATTGTACTTCTCCCTGATGTATACCATGACTGTGGACTGTGTTTATCTACGCTGTGACCTTTCGACCTGTTTGGGATGCATATGGCTCTATTGTACAAATTGGTACAGTGCATTACATCATTGATGTCCATTTGTGGCGCTGTCCCCTATGACAAGTAGGAATTCGCTTGCCATGACTAGTCGACTGTAGACTGTAGTACCTGACTTGAGGGTGATTCCGGGAATGCGTGTCCTTGTGGTCATACAGTATGTCCGCACCTTTAAAGCCATGGAGGTATATTCGATTTTAAAGCCAGTCTCAGTTATAAACCCATGGGCTCCAGGGGCAGCCGATATCAGATTCTGTTGCCTGCCCAAGAATGTTGTTTCCCCGATTGAGGATTACATTGCATATAATTAGTTCTCCCATGAAGAAATCACGTCATGTGACCAATTAGCTTGAACGTTTCAACACGAAGATACGTCATGTAATTCTCAACATGTGTCTGCAGCGCTTGTTGCTTCACGAGCGGCTACATGTAGCCTAGTCTGTAGTGGGCCAGGCCGTTAGGGTGAGAAACAGAAAGCCACTTGCCCATAACCAATGGTATTGCCCTGAGGCCACCACTGTGGACAACAGGGAGGTTTAGCAGAGAGGATCCAGAATGCAATTACCTGTCCCCGGGTAAAATTGCGGAAAAAAATCGCAAAAAACGCGGGGAAAAACGCGGCATAATATGGCATAATTTGCGGTGAATTTGCGGTAAATATGCGGTAAATATGCGGTGAATAATATTGATGTGCGGCAATTTTCAGTGAGTATGTAGTGAAATCAATCAGTTACAAGTCTCTGGTGTAAGCACTCGTCATATTTGAGTAAAAAGCCGCCACGATGAGACGTTGCTGACCGAACAGTGCACTGTGTGTACGTGTAGTGTATCAAAAAAGTTCAAAAAACGCGGGAAAATCGCGGAAAACGCGGTCTTTTAAAAAACCGCAAAAAACGCGGAAAAAAACGCGGCCGCGGAATTGCAATTTTCCCCGGGGACAGAATTACAGTCGACCTACCCTTATAACGATAACCCCTATAACGATATTACCCTTATAACGATATTTTTCTGTCAAACCAAATCACTCCATTGACTTTTGTATACAATAGACACCCTTAGCAAAAAAACGTTATGTTGTAACGGTATTATCGTAAGGGGGAAAATACAGTGATTTGGGTTCGACCTTTAGCAAGATGCACGCTATTTTTAGTACGCTGTTGCCTTTGACTTCGCGCGGTACAACCATTTTTGTCACCATAAACGCGATACAAGGTGAAATGCGTACGGACTATGCAATATTTGGCTAAAACACGTATAAATCAGCCCCCATAACGTTTATACGCTGCAGCTTCAACGCTACAGTCAAACCTCATTAGGACGAACTTCAAGGGACTGAACAAATTTGTTTGTCTTATCGGGAGTTCTTCTTATCCAGATCTGACAAAAAATCGATATGCATATCAGATGGATTGTATTTACGTGAAGGTGCATGCTGTGGTACATGGGAAGCATGTTATTCTTAGCATAAGCCAGAAACAGGTACATGTAAGTACAATGACAAAGTGCAATGAATCACGACTGTGTCGAAAGTTTGTACAACGCACTGATTATTTTGTTCAAAACACGCTTGAAATCAATTTGCACTGTACGTACAATAATATGACCTCGACTATTGAAAAAAGAAGAAGAAAAAAGGCAGCCAGCTCACGCGCACGCTCGTGGACCGAAAGTTCGTACTACATGTACATGACCACACTGACTTTGTTCAAATCACACTTGAAAATAGTTCGTCTTCGCGAATGTTCGCTGTACAGAAGTTCGTCGTAAACGAATAATTTTGACTTGAATTGATGCCTGGCCAACCATAGGATTGGCCTTAGTTCGTACTAATGGAAAGTTCGCCTTATCAGTGTTGGTCCTAACGAGGTTTGACTGTATTTGGGTGATCAAGGTACGAGTACCGTAAAAAATAGCGTTACCGTTGTTTGCTAAGGGTGTCTAATGCCTTACCTCTATAACAATATTGCTATAACGATATTACCCCTATAACAATATAAAATGGGCTGACCGATCGACATTTTCCAGTTTAGAACAATATCAGCAGGGAATATGTAGAGTCCACTGTCAAGGTGGGTCAAGCTTCACTTGATGAGTCGTTGGGACATGACAAAATGCGATGGGGGCACCAGTGGCACCTTGCTGTATACATAATGTGCATGTACATACGTTTTTGACGCTATGAAGAGTGTAAAAAATGAACTAAACTCATGCATTATGACGTATGTGTATGAATGAACCAGTTACCCCTATAACAATATTACCCTTATAACAATATTTCTTGGTCGGACGCAAATATCGTTATAAGGGTAGGTCGACTGTACCTTATTTTCAGTAGTATAAAGGGCGCGTTTGGTTGGTACGACCTAGAACAGGATTCACCGGAACAGCGCGTTTGGTTGGGACTGCACCTGTTCTGGGTCGGCCAGAACATGTTCTGCTTGCTCCGGCCTCGAGGCCGGAGCAGACCGAGGAGTTTCACTTTTTCACAGTGAAACCTGGCGGGAACATCGGTTTTGGTCCCAAATGATCACGTGCGCATACGCTTTTGGGTTGGACTCGTCGTACCGTACACAGTGACCATGGTGACCCATACTTATTTTGAAGAATGCACCAAGTTTGGCATATTTGTTCACAAAAAAAGGTGCTCTGTTTCTGGAGTACCGTTTGGTTGGCATGAGGCTGCTCCATGTGCACCAACTGTTCGATCCTGTTCCAGATCGTACCAACCAAACGCACCCTAAGCTGCACTTTGAACACTCAAAATTCACCCCCCTCCCCCCCCCCCCCAGAAAACGGGGGGGGGGATGCGACTTCAATATACTCCGATGATCAAATTAACGGTGATAAAATAATAGGATACTGTAGATGCCTGTATTTTGTGGCAAAAAAATGGGGGGAGTGGGGCTTATATTCGGGAAACTACAGTATCATCCCTAGCCCTCTGTCCCATGCCACGGCATGTGGCAAGCAGTGACCCTTCGGCCCTACTATTATTCTTTAGTCGTGGCCAAGAAATCCGGCCCACAAGTCAAAAGCAACACCGCGTTACGTATGTGATCAAGCACGCTCTGAAGGTCATGATGGCGAGATTCTATCATGACAGACAGAGCGTGCTTGATTTGATTTCTTACAACACGAAGGAACAACATTAATGATTGCCACAATGATAATGCCCGCGGCAGGAAGTCCGCCTATTGACCATTGCCTTTATGAAGAATAGTACACCATGTACATTCAATAAGCCCATCCCGGGACTGCATGAGCCTTGGCGCTGTGAGTTGGATTTCTGAGGGCAAGCCACAGTCATTATCATAATCAGGGAGTCGTAAAATACCTGGTATTTTACGACTCCCTGATCATAATTGAGCTTGGTCGCGTGATGTCTTCCTTCTTGTTCTTTTTTTAAGTGTGGCCGGCCATACCCCTGGCCCCATAAATCTCAATGGCCAAAAGCCAGGCGCTGCATACTGTACCATATTGTTGGTTGACAGCATTGTTGCAAGGTGAAAGACCACTGTGTTTGGAAACAGTGGTCCTCCGGCTTTTTTCCTTGCTGTCAACCAACAACAGGTTTTCAACAAAACAAGGTGTATACCGTATAGTACCAGTACTGCACTCTGCAGTACATTGTAATTTGTACTATTTTTTGTAAGACCTAGCTGCTAGACTGCATGCATGCAGTAGTCAATACTGTATAACACATTATTTTTGGTGTAATTTTAATTTCGGTAGAGAATTCAGGCACCTAAATTTAGATTACACCTAAAAGGCACTAGAGTATGCATTGTATGTGAAGGGTAGGCCGGTCACCTAATTCTACATTACACCTGAAATCTGGCAGGTCCCTGGTACCGAAATTTAAATACACCTAAAATTACATTATATACAGTAATAATATTATGCCTACCTTATTATGCAAGTCGAGCTTGAAAATGTTTCTGTCATGTTCAGCCTAGCCGGCCATTTGTATAATACAACCCAACAGTACGCTTGTACGTGAAATATAAACCGACATACAAACTGAGGCGAAGCCGAGGTTTGTATGTCGGTTTATATTTCACGTACAAGCGTACTAGTGGGATGTATTATACTTATGCTGACCTTCATACAAACTGACAGTCAACTTCTTCCTGTTTCTAAAAAGGAGTTTGTATGGTGGTGGTCTATATGGGGTTTGTATGAGGTTTATATGCCCAATATAAACCACCTGCATGATGGGGCAGTTGACTGGAAGTTTGTATGAAAGGTCAGCATAACTAGATATCCCATGCGCGAACATGCATGATAATTATTAATTTTTTTTTATGATGGACTACCCCTTCCTTTTAATTTTTGTTTTTGTACAATCAAGTCTTTGCTGCGGGTCGATCGACCGCGCGCCGCGCCGGTCGCGTCGCGCGACTGTACAATCCTTTTCTGGAACAGAGTGAGAAAAAAAAGTAAAAGTAAAAGTAAAACTACGCATTGTACTTTGTACTTTATTTGTAGATGAATAGATGAATGAAGTGAAACGCAGCTGAAACAACAGTAACTGTTACTCTGCTATTGCTAGTATCGTTAGGCAACTTAGGGTGCTTGCGATCCTTGACGGTGTTGTCCCAGCTGGCAGAGGAGGATTTCTACAACGAGGACATTGTCGAGTCTATTTTGTACATGTTGCGGCTGATGGCGTAGAGTCTACTACTGGTGAAAGGTCGAAACGACCAGCAGGATCTATGATCACTAAACTAAAGAAGCGCCGTAGGGAGTGGCGTCAGACCATCCTAATTATTATCTTGCTGTGCGTGACTTTCTGGGAGCTGGCTGGTCACTGGGTCTGGTTTCTTCGTTCTCCGGTGAATGTGACGCCTGGAGGGTGTACCCGCTTCCTGCTCGTGGGTGATCCCCAAATCCAAGGATATTACGGAGAGCCTGGTGGTATTTTTGGTTTTCTGACACGCTGGGATGTATACTCTTACTTGCAATCATATGTAGCAGCCGGGTATAGGCTATCTCAACCAGATGAAGTAGTATTTCTGGGCGATTTGCTGGACGAGGGCTCTACTGCGAGCGATGATGAGTTTAGCAGCTATGCCGGGGCGTTTCACCAGCTGTTCCCCTGGTCACAAATGCCCAGGCAGATCTTCGTTGCTGGTGATAACGACATAGGCGGAGAAGGCATGCATGACTACATCAGCAAGGGAAAGGTCCGCCGCTTTGGCATGCACTTTCGCCCTGTGAATGGCAACAAGACGGCCAAGAATGGAGTCTCGCTTATCTGGGTAAGTACAATCACGCAGTAACTAAGCAATTAGTAGTTTAATGTCACAATCATCAAGAATTATTCGATTATGACAAAGCCTACAGTCCATTCAGAAAAAGATGATATCCTAGCTTTTGGCCATAAATGGGTCAAATTTCGAGTTTTTGCAACGATTTTTGGGCAATCCCCCATGGCATATGGAATGCTCTACCAATTGTGTTTTTGAAGTCTATTTCTTCAAAGGGCAAGCCATAACAAGAATAGGATTTCGGCCAGGTTTTGCCCCCAAAGCACTGAATTGGGGAAAAACCATGAAAATCCAGGTTGTTCACTCCATCCACTTGCATAACGGTACATTTGCGGTTCGAACCCCAGTTGAGATACCTTTTATGGACCCTTTTTTCAAGTTTTGAATCTCGCGGCACTGCACAGTGTACCACAAAATCACGAAAAATCACCCAATACTGGAGCTCTCCAGAGCCAGTACTCATCTTTTTTCTGAATGGACTGTACTGCGTACAAAAATCCCCGTTTTTTGTACTCACTGGTGTTCACCAGGCCGCCGGCGATGGGTATACTGTGTACAGAGCCTAACTGACACAGACAGCCGGGCTGCAGCAGCACCGTGCTACGACCTATGATGCAGTGGTGACGGTGGCGAGTGAAGTCTGGGCTACCGGCTACCGGTATAACGGCCTTCGGGGGGGGGGGGGGCTGCACGGCCCTAGGACTTGGGTGTGCAGTGAAAATGCCTGGTAGAGTACAAACTATTCAGGCCTCCGGTGCAATGCCGCCGTGCACTGAACGAAGTATTGGGGCGGCACTGCATTTGATGCACGCAAATGGAGGGGACTGTCCCCTGAGGTCTACCCCGTGCATGTATTCTTGTACTATATTTTCGCTGGCCTGAGTGCACCCACACCTGCCGCATGGAAACAATCTATTTCCGTACTGATTCCCCTATTCATCAAGAGAAGCTTGTGCCGATAACCACAGAGCACGATCAATATGAGTTGTTACGTATCACGATTCTCTACTGCACGATACGAGATGTACCGGTAGTGACGTTGGTGGTAATATTGGAGAGCGGCGCTGTTCGAAACGTTGGACCTCGCCCATCCTGCCGACCTTTCTGAACTCATGCCTGTGATCCAAGGCACACAAGAAGGGTGTCGAGCCTTTGACTTCCCAAACCCATAAGAGATTGTGATCTCATGTGTTCACTTGTGAGGACTGTCTAGTTGTTCTACTGCACACCTAGTCACATCGGTAGCAAGCTTGCCTTCTGTGCTATTTGTTGACTGATACCTAACCGCAGATCAACAGTATGGCACTATCATACCGCTACATGACTGACCCGGACGTCCAAGAAGAGGCATTGGATTTTCTCAAGTCATTGGCACAGCGGCGCAATGCATCGCCAAGCACAGCGCGGCCCGGGGTCCTGTTCTCTCATCTCCCACTGGAGGAGATGAGCCGCAGGCGGTTGCTTGCTGAGCTCGGCATTAACACGGTTTTCTCGGCACACACGCACGACTTCAGTACAGCAGTGTACTCGCGCGGTGGCTTGCGGACCGGCCCGAGAGATGCCACTTGGGATGGACGACACGTGATGCAAGTCACTTTTGACGAGGCCACATTGCCGTGTTATGCCGCGGGCGAATGCGTCTTGAGTGTCAGCGTACCAACAGTGTCCTATCGTATGGGCAAGTCATCAATGGCACTGTCCGTTGTGGACATAGGTAAGACTATATTACAGGTGGAATCCTGATAATTCGAATATGGCTTAATTCGAACATACCGCTTAATTAGAAGTTTTTCCAGGACCGATTTCTGTCAATACGATTCCCACATAAAATGTTCTGATAATTCGAACCTCGAACCGGACATGTCAGGTTAATTCGAAGTTCCACGGATTCCACTTACTGTAGAGGCAGAAAATTTCGTCGGTCAATAATTTCGTCCAACTCCAAAGAAAAGGAGTTCGTCTGGTTGAAAATTTCGTCCATGGATCATAAGAGTGTATAGAAAAGCTGGACAAATCGATATTCGTCCTACATTTAATTTAGTCCAAAAGCTCCTTGGATGAAAAAGACGAAATTAAATTCCAGACGAATATTTCTGCTTGTACAGTATATAGAAAATGTGTGGGATTTGTGCTGATAATTCGAAGTTAGCAAAGTGTAATTCGAAGTTCACTGTACACTGTACTGGTCAGTTCAGTTTGCTTGAGCAGGCTTTGCTGGTCAGTTCAGTATCCGTGAAATCTGTGTCTAAGATCCATAGCGCAACTCTGCGTGACCATGGGAGCATTTTGACATACATATTGTGTTGTGGGTTCATGTTTGGATAATTAGAATGTCCGGATAATTAGAAGTTTTTTGCTGGCATTTGGAGGTTCAAATTATCAGGATTCCACCTGTATACTCAATCTGCCGACTGAACTGTTTTGTCCTCTGAGGCTTTGTGGGTTCGTCGATCCAGCACAGGGAAATGATGCCGAACCTGGTAGCAATGAAAAATAAATCTCTCAAAGCCAGAGCTGAATCCCATGCTCCATGCCTGCTTTGCCAGAGTGCTCAAACTCACACGCCCTTCCTTGTACTGATATGTATATACTGTAAAAGCAGAAATTTTTGGTGGTGTTTTATTTTCAGTAACTTCGGTTCCGACAATTTTTACCGATAATAAAACGCACCGAAAAATTCGGTACAACCGATACTGTATACGTGTAGTACTAGTACACTTACCTGAAGAACGGGTTTTACCGAAAATTTCCCTCTACCGAACCGCCCATTTTGGAGAATACCGAAAATATTACACCACCGAAAATTTCTGCTTTTACAGTACTGTATAAGTATATAACGTGGCTAGTGTCTACTGCAGTACAGTTTGCCCCAGCCATGCGTGCACAGAATCCGCTCCTTATGTTCCTGAGTCTGATGGGAATGCAATTGTGGTACTGTAAAACCGGGAATTTTCGGTGGTGCAATATTTTCGGTATCTCCCAAAATCAACGGTTCGGTGGTGCGAAAATTTCGGTAAACTAGTTTTCCTGATCCAAAAATGCATTTTGCACTGTGTGGCATCCGGCATGGCATGGTTGAATTTAAGGTCGCGTTTTGTTTTGTTTTTAGGTAAAAATTACCCGTACCGAAGTTACCGAAAATGTATCTCCACCGACATTTTCCGGTTTTACAGTACCTACCAGAGATCATGTTGTTAGTTGATACAATGAGTAGAGCGACTATGTGCATACTAGCTGCTGGCATGATGATGAGCAGGGTTGAAGTTGGTAGTCTCCATTTTTTGTAACCATTTTGTTTTGCCTGTGTTGCCAAATTTGTATGCAAACAGATGCCGCTGGTCGAGTACAGAACTTGATCGTTCTGCCGCTCCCACCTCGCTATCCTGTTCTTATCGGTTATCTGGTGTTGGCTGTACTCTGTTGCGTTTGTGCAACATGCTTTTGATCCCCATCCCACGCTCACATGTACTCATATTCACTAATCACACAGCAATGATACAACCTAGTCTTCTTCTGACTCATATTCACATAGGTATCACATCCATTATGCGTTATGGTCATGGAACATTACACAGCTCTTCCCTGATCGGACAGAAGTACATGTACCATAAATCCCATTTCCAAGGGAGTATGAGCTGAATACTTTTTTTCTTCTTTTTTTTGAAGTATGGTACTTGACAAGTTGACCACGACTTTGACTAGGTTTTATTTATAATTTTTTTTTAAATTCACGGTTCGCCGAGTTTTCGCATCCATAGGAAAGCCACTAACCTCTAGGATCAAGGTGCAGATGCAGCTTTATTGCTAAAGTTGACGCAAATTCCAGTTAAACTTCCTGCCCTTGAACTTTGCTTCTTCTCATGAAGGCCAAGCCGAGTTATCTATCTGCTGGTGCATCTCCATTCTCCGTTGTGTTTCTTATCTGCCGATGGTTTTTAAATCGAGTTCCAAGCAAGGCATCTCACACATAACTTTGAAATTATCAGTTTATCACGATTGATTTTTATTGCTGCTACAGGTCTACCCAAGAGTGTGCAACTCCTGATACCCTTTCTATGGGGTTCGCCGATGGCGAAAACTCACATCACGTGGTGTAGTGTCCCAGTTGTACGTTTCTAGCCCGTTTGCAGCGAGCAGCGGAGTAATAATAAAAGTACTCCCTGGAAGAAACTCACTGCGCGTATGCAACTCGCCAGCGTAATCATGGCAGATTTCCGGATTTCGCGCACGCTATCCTCAGTTGTACGTAGTACAAAACGTACCTGAGACACGTGATGTGAGTGGGGGAGGGTTCAAATTGTTTGTCTTATAACGAGTCTTTCTACTATCCGGACGTGAATGTACGCGTTTCAGGCGCCAGAGGGATTTTTGATCGTTGTCTAGTATGTCTACTAATGAGTTTTGTCTTGTACCCAACGTACTAACGCGGGTAGACCTGTATATCAGATATTCTGTACAATTCGATTCTGTAAAACCGGAAAGTCGAACGACCAAAAAGTTTAACGTTTTTGTAATTTTGGCATGATAACGTGCAGAAAGTTTAACGACCTGGCCACCCATCTGTATGCGCATCTTTACACAGACATCTCAAACTGGGTTCGCGATAACGTTTCGCGATGCACATACCGGTGCGCCCAGTGGGAAGGCCAAGCTTGCACTTGACCTCTATTCATGGTCATGCTAGCATCATCTCAGCTCCTCTCCTGCTTTTGCCTCTCCTGCTTTTGTCGGTCAAGGATCATTGGCATGCTGAGGGAGCTGGAATCGTTTCATACACAGAACACGTGATTGGTTTGTTATCCAAGCATTGGTGGTTCAGTGGTAGATTCCTCGCCTGCCACGCGGGGATTCGATTCCCGGCCAATGCATTTTTTTCCTTTTTTGTCATTGTAGTAATCCATTCCATTTCCATTCAGTCTCCAGCTATGAATGTAGCTACATTTTTTTAACGAAAACGTTAGACTTTGTGACTTGTGAGAGGTTTTACAGTATTTGATCTTACATTGTATGATGGCACCAGTCTCTGCATAGAGTATTTGTTTGTCCATGATTGCATGAATATTACTGCATGCTAGACAAGTGATGTCACTCCAGAGAATAATCTTTATTATTTAAAAAATACTCTACTTCAAAATACTCCGAAAATGCTGTCCAGTATTCAAGTCCTCGGGCGAGGAAACGGACACAAACATGATCAATATTTCGAATGAAGCTGACAATTGATAAAAAAAGCCGGTGCAACTGTCTTTGGAAAAGGCTCGTGCGTCGTAAATTTAAATCATAAAATCCACTCTAAATGTTGTATTTGATCAATGCACATATGTGTAGAACTGTCATATTATTTTTACCGGGAGAAGAATTCTTGTCACTGGACTGATGGGATTTTCCCTACGAGTCGTTCACCGTTCCTCAGAACTCGTAGCTACCACGTTTCTTATAGTTGCTTTCATAGTGCGTTTTACAATAGAAGTGGTTGTTGAGCGCCGCATAGTTGGACGGTAGTAGCTTACACTTGCAGTCCGCACACCTGCAGCATGGAGCAGCGGACGTTGCGGTTTAGTGCATGCAGGTGCGACACAGGACACATCGAGCGCATGGCGCACAATGCTTCATATACAGGCAGGTATTGTGCACGTATAATTTCGTGTATTCTCCGTGCAGCTGTGGAGGGGCTGGTGCACGTGATGCTGCACATTGGTATCAAGTACATGGTGTGTGCATACTGGGGTATATGGTGATGCCACGCAGGTGAAGTGCACCTGCCATGCACTGGGGTGGATGCGGTGGGCGACCGGAGTACAAACAACTCCAGAGTGTGTAACCATGGTGGCGGGGCAATGCGAATGGTGCCAAGTTACTTTTCCAGCATGCTGCTCTGATGCTAGTTGCATGCACTGACCAAAGCACAATTTGTGCGCACCCCACGATGGTAAAAAGTCAAGGAAGTGAATAACGGCATGGTCCCTGGTTTGTCACGCAGGCAGCACGGTGGTGACAAGCAAGACCCGTGCAACTGTATGACTACAGCAGTGCGCTGTGTTCACTGCGGAGCCCAGTGTCTGTAGGGCTGGGACCGCACAACTGTCCCAGGGCTGGTATTCACAGTGTTGCATATCACTTGTCACCACCGCACAGTGCACCACTTGCAAGTCTGTTCGGCAAGCAAGTTGCCATGCTCTCAGAGTCCTGCATGCATGCATGTTACAGGTCACTTGCTAGAGAGGAGCCACACCTGGCTCGACGTCTTGTACGTGCATTTAGGTCCAGTGAATGGTTGGCTGGACACTAGGAGTTCTGAACCTTGAATCGTGACTAATACACCAACACCTGTCAAGGTGCGGACCACTCTGATAAGGTGACCACTGTTCCCCGGCAGAGGACTGCTGCAACCAGGCCCATGGGATGTTATTTCCGGTCACGTGACCCTGGATAAGGAGACATGCACTCGCCACGGGCATGCACAAGTGAGTTGCTAATCAAACATGCCACCGCCGCTCAGCCTTACCTGAAGCAGACCTTGTGCATGGGGAGATCATTGGCACTGACAAACTCCATCGGGTATACGGTCTTGCTGCAGACGTGACACTACATAGTACAAACACAGGTCACAACAACAACACCAGCATACTCATGCATAACAAGCAGCAGAAAGGTGCCTGTACCACTGAACATGGTTCAAACAAACAACACAGAGATGTGTTGTATTTATTTTATTTTATGGAAAAACCACAAACCTTCAGACATGTGAATGCGCACATGATATACAGTGTACATACGCATGTATCGAGAAGGCAGCACAGAAACGGCAGTATGTACTGGCACAGCCTACGCTTACAGTAAGTTCAGAAGAAGACAAGATGTGTTGGTGTACACAACCCCCCATCCCCCCACCCATCCGTCCCTGCGTGGCGACGCTCACTGTACAACTAATATCAGCTAATCCTGGCTGGCTTGACACATGCTAATCCTAGGCTGGACACATGTCCCACGCTAATCCTAGGCTGGACACATGTCCCACGCTAATCCTAGGCTGGACACATGTCCCACGCTAATCCTAGGCTGGATACATGTCCCACGCTAATCCTAGGCTGGACACATGTCCCACGCTAATCCTAGGCTGGACACATGTCCCACGCTAATCCTAGGCTGGACACATGTCCCACGCTAATCCTAGGCTGGACACATGTCCCACGCTATCGTCTCTCCAGCTATGATAATGAAACCCATGTGCAGTGGCCAGCAATTTCTTACACCCCGTGTCGGGTAGGACGATGGATGATTCTTCTGATATGCTAGACAAGTGGCTCACAACCGTGCTTCAGCCCAGAGTAACCCCAGCTGCAAATGTGTACTGCTATGATGGTGCTTCATAGAGGGGCCCTTGATCACGATTGTCTTCGAGGGGAACAGTCAGCAACCATATACGAGTCCTGCATAGGGTCTGGCACAACCGTGACACTGCAGTCGGGATCACCGGTAACTGCTCAAACCTCAAGATAGTCGTCCACTGTTGGAATGGAGCATGCTTTAGCTTTGCGCATGTGTCTGCTTCATAATTATGTCAAGTCTATAGAATGAAGAGTACATAGTAAGTAGGCTGCAACGGGTAGGGGTTTGGTCTGGTAACGAGTTCGGGTATTTCTATTCGGGTAGCATTTGTACCCTATCGCGTATTTTTTACATAGTTTGTACAGTGAGTATGCACTTGTTCTACATAGAAAGTGCACAGTAAGAACGTAGCTGTGCTTTTTTTTTTACATGCAACGTTGCAAAAACACCCTACTCCAACTACCTGATCGAGTTCTCAGGACCAAACCGCTAACCGAACTCCCGCTCTAGTTTTCGGGTAGCACGGGTACCCTACTACCCGATGACACCCCTGGTACATAACCGGGCCCTAAGTGTGTGCAACTGCCTACACAACCTCTATACAGTGCTGCGACAGCGGAACTTCACATCACGTGACATGCTTCAATAGGTTACGCTGACAAACAGTGCAAAGTGACCACAGGAGAGTTGAACCCAAAGCAGGGGTGCATATAACCCTGTAGCTATCATGGACAGGGTGCACATAATGTGTACGGGTTCGCTACGTGATGTGAATTTATGCCGTCGCAGACCCATAACTGGAGTTGCACACTCTTGGGGCTATGTACTCTTGATAGAATGAAGAGCGGGTGCAACCTGATCAAGATATTTGAAGTTGTTACATTGCACGTTCACGATGCATACCTTGGGGTTGCTTGTCTGCTGAGATGCGGCTTTGAACCCCTTGCCCTTGCGCTTGGACTCGGAGATGGAGCAGGCGCGGAACTGCCGGTATGTGTACGTTTCCAGCGTTGAGTCGGTGATATCTTGCTTGAGCAGGGTGATCTTGACCCGGTTATCACGACCCTGCAGGAGCAGATCTCCTTCGAACGTGACCACCTGGACAAGTTGATAGATAGAAATGAAAGAGAGCCGAGAAAAATGAATCGAATTTAAATCCACTTCAGTGACTACCCACGGCCACCTATGGTTCATAGAAACTAGACCCTTGAAAACAGGTGACAGGTGACAGGTGGCTGTTATAACAGGTGGCCTTTCCACACAGATGCATCAGGAATACATGTACATCATCCCACTGCCATCGATCTGTTTGGCGGTATTTCCTACCAAATTAGTTAGTCTTGCTGGCATCATCCTAAAAACAGCCATGTTTTGATACACCCACCCAGGGGTGTTGCTCGACATTGGTGTGGCTGCATGAGTAGGTGGGGGTCCGGGGTCCCCCGGGAAATATTTTAGGGAAATTGGGCCCAACTAGCCCATATTTCATTGCTTCAAAAGTCACAAGATGAAATTATTGGTGCGGGTTTGGCCGGACCTGCCGCACCGTTCCGACGCCCCTAATGCCTATCTGATTGAGTATGATAACGTTAGGCCTAAAAGCTCATGCATGTATATACCTTGTGCTTCTTTGCTGTGATCAGCAAGCCAGACAGTGCTTCAAAGATGTTGTCAGTCTCCTCGAAAAGTGTGCCGTACGCCACCTCTGTCGTACCGTCTTTGGTGGCCAAACCGTGGAGCTTGACTTGCTCAATCAACTGCATACCGTGCACAGGCACAGGCACAGGCATAGCACATGCAGTTGTGAAGCAATGTTGAAAAAAATGTGCACATAAACATCCTTGTGAACAACCCACCGCAGACAACGATGAGAGCACGCTACGCGTCATACTATTATCACTACTGGCAATGCAGTCATATGGACTGCACCTTTCACAGATTGCAAGGCTGTTGGCATTGCTAATGTTAGCGGCATTCATGGAAACATATTGTACACTACCTCCCATATATAGCCCATGTCACTATTCATTGTGATGCTTTCACAGTGCTATGCCAACTGACAGCTATGCAGGCTTCAACGTATGCTCAGTCAATCCATGCAGGCAAGGATGCTCTAGCAACATACATGTACGTATTGTCCTTCGATCAAGCTGCCTCTCGCTATTCGAAAGTCATTGCAAAGAACACTCATAGGGGAACGCCTAGTTTTGTTGCTATTTTCACCTTGCGCACTTGCTTGTCCATCCACTTGGTGGCAGCCTCCGCTCGCTGTTGGCTCTTTCCGCCCTTCTGCGCCACAACACTAAGCCGACGCTCCATGACTTGCTCCTTGTCCTTCTCTTCAGAAGCCAGGATTCCTTCAAGCGGGTCGTCAGGAGGTTCGTCCAGGCCAAGCTTTTCTGCAGCAGCTCGCGCTTTGCGGCTGACACTGTCTCGTGTGCGAGACTCCTGCCTCTTCATTGCCGTGGCGAATTCATCCTCCCCTTGTTTTGATGCAGCTGCTGGGGCAGCCTTCTTGCTAGTAGCTGGACTAGATTGAGCTTCTGTAACTTGTCTTGCTGCCTCCATACGTTGTCTAGCCATTTCCTTCATCCTTTCCACTTCTACTTTCTGCTTCTGGAGCTGTTTTTCCTGCTCTTGTCGCTTTCTCTCAGCAGCCTGTCGCCGTTCCTCCTCCTCTCGCTGTTTCTTCTCCGCTTCTTGCTGACGCCTCTTTTCAGCCTCCAGTTGTTCTTGTTCTTGCCGCGTTTCCTCAGCGGCTAGCCGTTGCTGCTCCTGTTGCCGTTTCTTCTCTGCTTCTTGCTGACGATTTATTTCTTCTTGCTGACGCCTCTTCTCAGCCTCTTGACGTTCCCTTTCTTCTTCTCTCTTCCTCTCCTCTTCAGCCAATCGCCGTCTATTCTCTTCTTTCAATCTTTCTGCGGCTTGTCGTCGTTCCTCTTCCTCCTTCCTCCTTTTCTCCTCTGCCAATCGACTCTCTTCTTGTTCACGTCGTTGCTGTAGAGCTAGCTGCTGACGTGTTTCCTCTTGTCGTTTTCTATCCTCCTCCTCCAGCTGGCGTGCTCTTTCTTCTCGCTCTTTCTGCTCTGCTGCACGTCGCAACTCTTCTGCTTCCCTGCGTCTCCTCTCCTCGAGTTGCTTCTGTTCTTCTTCTTCTTTGCGTCTCCTGTCCTCTGCAATTTGACGTTCTCTTTCCTTTCTCCTACGCTGCTCTTCCTGACCTTGTTTTTCTTCTGCCATGCGCTGTTGTCGCTCTTGCTGCAACCGATGCTCTTCTGCCAATCGTGCTTCCTCTGCTTTCTGCTGCAGGTCTGCTGCTATCTTGTGCTGGCGTTCTTCCTCTCGTCTTCTCTCTTCGTCCAGGCGGTGTTTTTCCTCAAGCTGCTGCCTCTCTTGCTCAGCGCTTTGCTGCTCAGCCAATCGTCGCCGTTCAGCTTCTGCCTGACGAGTCATTTCATCTGCTTCATACTTTGCTCTCTGCTCTTGTCGCTTTCGCTGCAACTCCTGGTGCTCAGCTTCTTCCGCTCTCTTCCGCTCTTCAAGCTTTGCTTGACGCTCTTTCTCCTGCTGTTCCAGTTTCAGCAGTGAGGCGTTGCGCTTCTCTGCCTTGAGACGCTGCAGGCGGAGGAACTCCGCTTTTTGCCGCTGGGCCTCCTCATCCTTACGACGCTCTTCCTCCACTTTGCGTCGCTGCTCCGCGTTGGGCCGTTTTGGGGTGGCTGCCTTCTTCTGAGTAGGCGACTTGACATCCACTTTCTGGTCTGTCGATTTCGACGTTTTGGGCAGTGGCTGGGGCTTTTTTCGTGCTTTACCACGATCAGTTTCATCCCCCTGTTTTTGCTGCTTCGCCCCACTGACAGGGTTAGGTGATACCTGAACTGGAGCAGGCTCTCCGGTCTTTGCATTCGGCTCAGCCTGGTCCTGTCTCGAAGAAGAAGAAGAGCTGCTGGAGTCCAGTTTCTGACGAGATCCTTGTCGCTCCGTCAAAAGCTGCTGCCGTTTCATGCGCTCTGCCTCTTCTTCCAGTTCAGTTTGTCGCTGCAGCCGCAGCTTTTCTTGCTCCAGTTTGGCGCGGTATTGGCGATCTCTCTCCAGCTCTTCCGTGCGTCGACGCTCCGCTTCCTGGCGCTGCTGCTCAATGAACGCCTCCTGCTTTCTGCGGTCTTCTTCGACACGCAGCCGCCGAGCTGTTTGCCACGATGCCCGGGCACTGCTTTGAGCTGATACTGCTGGAGTGGAGTGCGGTGCTGCGGACGTGGTACTACGTTCCTTCTCCTTGGCGAGTATCTCCTGGCGACGTGCCTCGACTTGCTGCTGTTTCAGACGCCATTGCTCCTCGGCCTTGCTCTGTTGCAGGCGCTCAGCCTCAAGACGCTGCTTACGACGCTCCTCTTCCTTGCGCCTCGCCTCGTCCTCCTGCTGCTGCCGTTGGCGTTGGCGTTCCAGGATCTGCGCTCTCCGCCGATCCGCCTCAGAGAGCTTACCTGGATTCGTTTCTACAGCTTCACGGGTCTCCGTTGGTGCAGCCGTTGTTGCTGCGGTAGTGGTGGTTGTGGCTTTTGCGGCAGTGGTACGTGCAGCTGCAGGAGGCTGCGGCTTCGTTTGGTCTGCTGCAGATGACGGCTTGGGGGAGACTGTAGGCTTGCTGGATGCTGCTGTCTTGTCCACCACCAGGGGCTTGCTAGGCGACGCTTCAGACTTGGTTTCTTTCTCGGTTGTCTGAATGGCTGGTGCAGCTGCAGGTTGAGAGTGTGCTGGAGTGCTACTGGCCACTGAACGACTTGCCTTCAGCGCACGTCCAACTGACGATGCACTCTGGGCGTTACGCACAGCAGGCGTGGCGGGTAGGTCCATCGACGCACTCTGGCTAGCCAACAGTTTTGACTCGTCGTGTACCCGTGTAGCTTCATCCTGGTCCTGCTGTGCTCGCTCGGCTTCACGCTGCTGTCTTCTTTCCTCTTCCTTTGCCAGCAGGAGCTGACGCTTTTTCTGGTCAAGGGACGCTTTTGACGTGCGAGCATTGCGCTCGTGTGCAAGTTTCCTCTGCTTTGCTGCATCGTGCTCTTTGCGCAGGCGTTCTTCTTCAAGGAACAGCTTTCTCTCACAATCGGCTGCTTCCTTCAGCTTTCGCATCCTCTCCTGGTGGGCAGCTGTTTCTGCTGTGGCACGGTTTCTCTCGTCTTCCTGTTGCTTCTGGCTCTTGTTGCGCTGCGCTTCTTCGTTGAGGCGTTGTTGGACACGCTGCAACAGGGCTTGGCGCTTCTTCTGCAACTCTGCCTGTCGTTGCTCTTCCAGCTGATGTTTGTCTTGCTCCTTCTGGAACATTTCCTTCTTGTACTGGTAGTGCTGCTTGCGTTGCTGCTGCTGCTGCGGTGCAGGACTTCTGTCGGACCTTGGTATAGCAATAGGCACAGGATCACCCATGGCAAGTTCCGATGAACTTCGCTTTGGGCCGTCAGGCGGGGATCCGCGCTGAGCAGCAGCAGTGCTCGGCTGACTAGTCTGATTCTGTACTGGGGTGCTCACAGGCCTGCCATTATCTCCCTTGCTGGTTTCATATCTTGCCGCAGGACTGCCAGTGGACACATGGTCAGCAGTACTGTCACATGGAATAGGTGCTGGACTTCTGTCCACCACCGGTAGTGGAGGTAAACCCTGGGAACTATCATCATCGTCTGAGTCACTGGCTTCAGCTACGGCAGCGGCGTGATCTGCAGCCACATCATCATACGTATCACCGGGGTCATGTGCGTTTGATTCGGCTGCACCAGGCCTTGCCGAGCTTAGATGTGTGGCATTCACGTGTGTAGCATTGCGACTGGCTGCCGTGCCATCACCTTCATTGTCACTACCGTCATCTGCAACTGGGTCGTCCTCACCGCTAGCATCACTATCACTATGCAGCACTCTCTGAGCCTGGACTTGCTGGGCTGTGATTGCAACATAACCAGACCCGACCGGTGCTGCTGCTGGTATCACTACCTGTTCGGGCGGAGGCGGTAGATTCTTGTCTTGCTTCACCTCGTCATTCGCGTCACCACCAGTGTTCTCTTCAGCCTGGTGGTGATGTCGCTGCACGTTCACATACAGATTGTCCTCTGGCACTTGACCGATAATGCAGATGTTATGCCCGGAGGGTGTTACTACCATGGCCGGCAGTGGCGGAGGAGTTGCCTGGCTATTCTCTGGCTGTGTGTAAGCATCAACGGGTGTTCTAGGCACGGCCTCCACCTGTTCATAGATATCCTCCCCTGTATCATCCTCATCATCAGATGAGTCAGACATGGACGGTTTAGGCCGATCTGCGTCTTCAATCTCGTTGTTATCATAGATTTCCTGATCATTATCTGGCTCCAGATCTGCTTCACCGTAGATAGGTTCAGCGGCATCCACGCCCTGTACCTTGTCCAGGTCAATGTCGGCATACGTAGCCTCCTCTGAGAAGCCATCACTGGCAACAGAGGGAGCAGCATCGCTTGGCAGCGCCAGAGACAGACGGGCGCCTTGAAACGTGGGGCCACTGTCATCCTTCAGGCGTGAGTTCTTGCGCTCGGCCGCGAGCCTCTGCAGGTAGCCGCACTGCTTGCGTAGAATCTGCACCCAAACGCTGGCATCGTCGGGCACGGATGCGTGCATGAAGTAGGTGCGCTCCTTCGTCACAATGCCAAAGCAGCAGGCTAGCGACAGCTGTAGCAAACAAGAGATGAGAAACACAAGCAATTACCGTATGTTCTCCAATATAAGCGCAGGTCTCCATTACTAGCACAGTCTCTAATACTAGCACACTGTGAGCAACTTATTATTATTATAGACAGCACCTCATAGCATGAAAAGAAAATCAGCCAGTTTTTCAAAACATAAGCACAGTCTCCATTATTAGCACGGCCTCAGTGGAATTCAGTGTTGCTGCTGTTGCATGGGTGACATCTAGCATGACATTGTATTTCTTCTTGCTGGTATACCAAAAGTATTGCAGTTTGCTCTGCATGATTGTTGGCAGTATTTGCACTGGACCATGGCTGGAGGAGATAGTTACAGGAAGTGAGGCTAGGAAAACAGGTATGGTATCTTTGCCATCAAGAGGAGAACTTGGAGAAGGGATCGTGTCTGTCATAATTAAAGAGTGCTGAGATAGGGCTGAGGCACACTGCTAGTACACGTTGACGAAGCCATCACAGCAGCATGGAGAACCCAGAAGTGGGATCCTTTCCAAGTACACGCAAAGTCTGCGGGATTTCATGGGGTGTCGGTCATGATGGGCGGTTCATTAGCTAATACCTTGAGTCATCTTTCCAAGATATCTTTCGAATCTCTCTTCCGTTCCCAAGGGGAGACCCCGGCACATTGTATTATCTGTATCATGCCTGTCATGATTGTCTGAAGCTATTGTCTGTGTTGTGGTTGACTTCACTCTTTACGAGTACTATTTCACTGGCTTTTCATACAATACCTATTGATGTCTAGAGACATACTGTCTAGCCTTCCCCTAGTGCGCCTATTGATGCACTACCCAGCTATCTAGCGGATCTCCTTCCACCTCTCTCTATCTTGCTATAATCTTCTTCACACTCTATAAGGTTTGTGTCTTCTTTACAATAAAATCAGTTCAGTGCCTGACGAGTTCGAGATCACAATACACATGACCGGTTCAGTCTGGCAGTCAGCAAGTACAATTGCAAGTGTGTGTGTGGGGGGGGGGGGGTGTCAGAGGTATCCCCCCTCCTCCCCCCCCCCCCCCCAAACCTGGCTAGAGGACTCTGCTGCCACACCTGAAGCTCACATCTGCGACCTACATAGTCTTGATCATTGTCGAAGTAGGTCAAGGGATGTGTTCCATTCTTCGCACCCCCCCCCCCCCCCCCCCCACACACACACACCCGGTCCCGATTCGTTTTAGGCTACATACACATTAGACCACTGTTGGAACCTTTCAGGACACAATGCCAGTTCAAGAGTGCAGCGTTTACCTTCTGTGGCCATGCACACGAGCACTCGTCTCCACACAGGATATCAGTGCTGTCATTCTTCACATCAATGGTGCCGAGTGGCGTGCCGTCGCTTGGCTTCTGGTAGTAGCTCAGCACGCCGGCATGGTCCAGTACCATCCAGCGCTTCCGCCAGTTCTTGCGCTTGAAGCCCTGCTTGACGAGGAAGCCGCGCGCGAGGTCGCCCACCTGAGTACTGCTACCGGACCTGCATGCAAGCACGCAAGACAGGAATTGGATGAGTCACCTAGGATATCTGACACACAGCGTTATACATCGTGTACAGTGATCACAAGGCATCTTCCCATCCCACAGATCGCCTACAGTGAGTTTATGCATGTAGATCTACTTGACGAAAAGTGTGAGAAGCCTTCTAATTGACTATTGAAATGAAATCACGGTGATGAGTTAGCGGATTCGCTTATCGGCGCTAAGTATATAGCGCAAGTCAAACGGTTTGCTTATGGGAGCCAAGTATACAGCGTGAGTTGGCGGATTCGCTTCAGCTCAGAATGCATGGCTGCACTGGAATGGCATAGCCTCTGTAGAGCTGTAGACTCCCTACACAATACTGCAGTATGGAAACTAACGCAGTCAGCTCAGCGCCCTGTATTCTTCCCCCTGCCAGTCCTGGGCGAGGCTTGCTTAGGAGAAATCCCATTCTTGTATGGATCAGTAGGTACTTCTTCCTCTTGTCCAGGCAGTAGTGGACTGGTCTACTTCTCTCAAACAGGAATGGATCGTAAGTCAGTTTCCAGTATGTAACGTGGTAACCTGGCTGGCCGCCTTGCCGCTAAATGATAGCCTCGGCCGGCAGCAAAACTGACCTACACTATTGGAGACGTTCCGCTACTGCTGCGATTTGCCTCCAGAGTTGAATGACTTTACGAAGAATCGGAACCGTTGGGCACAGTATCGCTACAAACACTAGTCCAGTAAAGCAATCACAGGCATTGAAAGGCACTACCGTACATGGTCTGGCTAGTCTAACGTCAGTAGTAACGAGAGATGCTCTATTCGTCGGGGAATTGTCGCGAATGAAGCGAAAGCCCGGTTTCTTTTCTCCGGTCGCATGTTTGCAGTGCCACAGACAAAACGAGCAAACGGAGAAGTTCTGAACGCCAGTTCCGACACTTCCGCTGGGGTACAACATAAACCTACAACCGGCACCACCACCAAACACTGAAGCAGAACAGAGCACGACGGGACACTGCGGAATGAATTCCGAACTGATGCTTCAACAAACACGTTCTGGAAGCCTCTCGTAGACTAATGCCTCTGTAACGTTTTCTTGTGAGCAGAAGCTGCGAGGAGACTTCATTTCACCATTCTAAACCTGCCATTACTAGTGCACACTACGCCTTACCCGCTGTTCCTATGGTCCGCCATCCCTGGTGGGACGTTCAGATGAAAATTGATGAAGAGCGATTCAGAAACGGGGCGGTTGTAGCGAGCCCGACGAAACCTCAAAGCACTTACGTGGCAGGTGCGTGGGCCACCCGGCCCTGGCCTGACGATACGGAGGGAGCAATGTTTCTTGGATCAAGTGACAAGTAACAGTTAGTTGAAGTAAATCCGACTAGGAGTTCGCCAAGCAACCTCATGCATGCCTACAGTACAACCTACATGACTTTGTACTCCGGCTACAGCGCTCAATCAGTTTACCTGTGGCTTCGGGACATCGCACACCTAACCGACGCACAAAATAATACAGCCTAAACACAGGCTAAAGGACCCAGGAAAGCTAACTGATAGGAACATGATCATTCAGTGGCGGACTGGAATGTTGTGGGCATGACCCTTGTTGATTTTTGGCCAGTTTGGGGATGCAGGCACACACACAATACCGGTAGGCTGACACCCCTACACAGCCTCGATATGAAACGAGCATTATCGATCGATCTGTGCAAATGTCATGAGCACACGTACACGTACACGCGTCTACAAGTAGTAGGTGTGCAGATCTACCGCAAGAGAAGAGTCAGCTGATAAAATGGTATATGGTGTTCCGTCCTGTCCTAAGTTGGGCAGGGCTTTTGATGCGCATTTATAGGGTGGGCAGAACAATAATCTCGGGGCGTATGAGCCTGGCCGGGTGGCCGGCCGCCGGAGCTAGCGTGTAGCGAGCATTGTGGTGGATATCTACGGACAGTAAGCACAGGTCCACATGTAGATCTACAATCGGATGCAGCGTTCAGGGAGTCGTCAAACACCATGGACGACTTTGCATGTCATGATTGGAAGCTGTGGCCTTAGTAAAAAAACAAACAAAACATCTGGGGACAGGGTCTGTTGTTGATAGTGCATGTATTAGAAAACATGTCACATTGTGTGCAGGACAATCATGGACCATCAGTGATTTAGAGTAATCACATCTATCCCACAATTGGCTGACTGATTTGTTTTGTCTAGCCCCGGATCGGAAGGACCCACCCTGGCAGATGTCTACCACACAAGAACGCCATGCCAACGCAAACACAGCAGCAACGAGAAGTAAAACCATGTCTTTGGGTGAAAGTTAGCGGCTCTCCTGGTCCAGGAACATTTGACTCCCTCGTCAACCGTGACTACTCAGAGGCGGTGCATACAATACGGTACACATGTACCGATAGCGCACGACTGAGTGTGTAATCAGCACTCCAATCACCCACTGGCCATAATACAAAAAGCTTGCACAGAAATAGGAATACTTATAAAGTGATTGCTTGGAAGGTAAATGGCGATTGATTTCACTATAGAAGTGTGCACTGGTGGGGGGGGGGGGGGGGGGGGGCAGGGGGATTGAATTGCGAATTGTGAAGATGCCAATGTTCTTCTAAGGAAAGTTTCGACACGATGGCCAGCATTCATGTGTGTTCCTTAGCGCAGGAGGGGGGGGGGGGGGGGGCAGACGTACACAGAGATACTTTGCTTTGAAAACATATCGGTATTTACGGACGGCTCCTAAGAGCGGAAGCTCATATTATTCAAAAAGTGAAGTCAATAACTGCTAGCAGCAATCTGAACACCGTGCATAGATAAAGCACAACGGAACCCAATCAAGTCACAGCCTATAAAGATAATAGAGCAATATCTGCGAGTCAAGAATCAAGCAAAGATCGGCAGAAATCCAATAGAGGAAAAAACACTTCTCACATCTCCTACTACCACTTTGGATCTCTTCTTGGATTTGAATTAGCCCCGGGGTGGCATTCGGAAAATAAACGGGAACATGGCACCAAAGGAAATTGGGCCGTTCGATATGAATCTCTCCAGGCATCTTTGGCCTGCACAGGTTTGCTGACAGTGAAGCTCAAAAGTTGTGCGTGGTGAAATAGTAGATGCATGGGCTTACCTAGTGCAGGACATCTGTCAGTGTGCTGCCAGTCTGTTATGTACAACAACAATGTGTGCTGGCAATGTGTTTGCTGCAGTGTATGTGTGTGGGTGCTGCTAATACGTTCTGTGCAACAACAATGAACTCGTGTCACACACCGGCTACCATACTAAATCTCAGCAAAAGGTGCTTTCAGATGCATGCTGTGCATGAGTGTGACACACTCTGTTACCACAATGGTCTCGACACACAGTGCTACCCATCACACCTACAACAGAGTGCGCAGGGACTCCACAGCACCGGCTGACACTGTGGCCGGTAGTGCCGCGATCAGGGCAGCGCCTTGCAAACGCCGCCATGAACATGTCCCTGCACTGGTAGAAGCAGATGCCCCACATTGGCCCTGACACACAGTGCTACCCATCACAGCTATGGGTGGGTGCACAGTGGTTCCATCACCGGTCACTGTGACCGGTCGTGCCGATCAGGGCAGTGCCTTGCAGTCCCCGGCCATGAACATGTCCCTGCACTGGTAGAAGCAGATGTACGGATCGCAGAACAGTCGCTGCATCTGCTCGGACAGCAGCTGGACGTTGAACGGACGTTGCAGCGTCGCCTTTGTGGCCTCGTCCATCAGGTTTGGCAGGGAGGTCACGTGCGGTAGATTATACCCGTCATCACCAGGCACCTCTGCAGAACACAGGAACCATCGGAGAAAAGGGAAACGGATCATTTGATGCAGACAAGGGGAGAAGGGCTGATATTGGCGAGATGAAGAAAAAAAAGAGAGAGAGCGGAGAGAGAGAGAGAGAGAGAGAGAGAGAGAGAGAGAGAGAGAGAGAGAGAGAGAGAGAGAGAGAGAGAGCAGGGAGAGAGAGAGCAGAGAGGGAGGGAGAGAGCAGGGAGAGAGAGCAGGAAGAGAGAGAGCAGGAAGAGAGAGAGAGAGAGAGAGAGAGAGAGAGAGAGAGAGAGAGAGAGAGAGAGAGAGAGAGAGAGAGCAGGGAGAGAGAGAGAGAGAGAGAGAGAGAGAGAGAGAGAGAGAGAGAGAGAGAGAGCAGGGAGAGAGAGAGAGCAGAGAGAGAGAGAGAGAGAGAGAGAGAGAGAGAGAGAGAGAGAGAGAGAGAGAGAGAGAGAGAGAGAGAGAGAGAGAGAGAGAGAGAGAGAGAGAGAGCAGGAAAGAGAGAGAGAGAAATAGACAGGGAGAGAAATAGAGAGAGAGAGAGAGAGAGAGAGAGAGAGAGAGAGAGAGAGAGAGAGAGAGAGAGAGAGAGAGAGAGAGAGAGAGAGAGAGAGAGAGAGAGAGAGAGAGAGAGAGAGAGAGAGAGAGAGAGAGAGAGAGAGCAGGGAAAGAGAGAGAGAAATAGACAGGGAGAGAAATAGAGAGAGAGAGAGAGAGAGAGAGAGAGAGAGAGAGAGAGAGAGAGAGAGAAGAGAGAGAGAGAGAGAGAGGCGGTAGGGCAAGACAAGAGAACAAGACACACATACTAGTACCCAGGCCAACGTATCATGCATGTACTGTACACACCATATCTTCCAGAAGGCCAGGGTGGAGACGTTCACTAGCATAACAAATAATTATAATGTACACGTACGCTGGCTAGGTACATCTTAAGTTAGCTTTCCTCAGTGCCCAATGCCTCATGACAACCATGCGATAGTGTACTGAAGTAGCTGACTGAAAACTACTGCATCCTACTCACAATACATGTACCTACGCAATGACTGATTGTATTGTTTATGGGGAAAACTGGAGATACTCCACTTAACAATAGAGTATCGGGCAAGGATTGATGGATTTATCAAACATCTTTACTCGTTTCACCCAATAGCCCTTTGCCATACCTTCTCTGTCCGCCATGCTATCAAAGAAACACCACGGCGCTTTGCCGGCATTGTTATCCTCGCCGCACTTCACAAACGTCACGTAGTGGCTGCGCTTGATGCAGACGACGGCAAACAGCTCCATGGTCTCCAGGCGTGCAGCAAGGAGAGGACTGGCGGCCTGCGCCTGAGACACTTCCTCGCGACGGTGGTCGCGACAGTGGCTGCTCCGTGAGTAGCTACACCTGTGACACAGGTAGTAGAAGACGTCTGTTTTGCTGCAGTCGTGGCAGCGTGTCTTCACCTCAACAGAGGCACACCGCGAACACACAATATGACCTGAAAAAACACACAAACAAAGAGGACCAGCAAATTTTTGATAGTTTTTATTGGACTCGGATTGTGGGCAAGGGCAGTGCTGTTAGAAATAAACCAGTGATTTTCCGACCAGAGAAGTTGATTATCATTCCATATCAGATGGAGCTTAGTGGAGCCTAGTGGAGCCTAGTCGGAGCTTAGTGGAGCTTAGTCAATGCAAGAAAACACACATGCATCAGCATCTGCATAAGGCATTATCATTTTTTGGTTGCATTGGCTGCCCTACCTCCGTTCAGGACGTTGGAGAGTTCAGCTGAAACGACGGTGCAATGTGGTTGTAAACCTTGAACTCGCGGCCAGACCGGGGCAGCTGCAGAATGAGTACTTTAGGCATCTACAGGGGTGACACATCAGAGACATACAGTGCATCATATGTAATTCGTACTGATTTATTTGCTAAGAATAATGTTAGCAAAACTCCCCTGTAGCCCTATCATGATCATAGTAACTTCCAGCGCACACCGTCGCACTAAGTCCTTGGCTACTAGGCTAATTTGTAAAGACTTGGAGAGACTGAAGTTTTTTCTTCATGTTCTTTTGTGCAGGCAAGGACTTACTGTGGTTGTGTGCGCTTGAACTGAGTTACTATGACAATGTGTTTACATTTCCAGAATTGCAAGGCAGCTTTCATTCATGACCATTGCCTGCTGTGCCTTTCCACCACACCAACATGAAAGTCAATACATTATAACTATCAGCATGTGTACAGGATATATACGCCACATCCAAGCTCATGCATGACACATGCAGGGCACATGCAAAGGGGGGGGGGGGGGGGGGGGAGGATATGCAGGACACATGTAGGGCACATGCAAAGGGGGGGGGGGGATATGCAGGACACATGCCGGACACATACATGGCACATGCTGGGGGGGGGGGGGGGGGGGGATATGCAGGACACATGCAAGAGAGGGGGGGGGGGGGGGAGGGATATGCAGGCCACATGCAGGGCACATGCAAAGGGGGGGGGGGGGGGCAGCACTTTGTGTAACCCTGGATGGGACTTTTTCATCTTCTCAACATGACTGGCAGAAGTGTAACATGAGAACGCTAATCTGTCGGTCCAGGTTTCAATGGTCATGACTGCATAACTAACACGTGTGAGGCGCAGCTGTCCTTCACAGAACGACTCCTCCATCAGCTGCTGGATGGTGGGCAGCGGCCAGTTGTCGTTCCTGTTGACAAACATCTGGTATGTGTAGCTGGTACTTGCATGACCACTTGCCCTGCACAATCAGCACATGGAGCCGGCACGCACAAAGATCAAATCAAACCATTGCGGCTCAGAGGCCAGCCACATCATGTACAGAACCGTCACCAGTAAGTCCCTGTGGGCATGTGGTGGTCAGTGGCTATAATGACGTCAATAGCCAGATGGTGTCTTCCTGCAGTCATGCTTAAATTTCACATGCCTTTTTTGCTGCTTAGTCCAGTACAACATTGCCGGGCCAAATAGATGGCCATATAGATGGCCGAAAGCTCTTTCGCATTATCAAATTTTGAGTTTCATATTCATATAGATTAGGGGTGAAACAATTATACCGAATACTCGAGTACTCGCTCGGGTTTTTCAGAAATAATCGTACTCGGAATAAATCAGAGTACTCGTTCATACGTGGTACATGCATTTACCACAGAAATCTGCAGTTTCAGAGCAGCATTCGGCAGATATTGACGTGCAGACTGGTGGTGAACATTTGTTCACGAGTAGAGAGAGCCCAAATGACCCAGCAACCAATATACCAGAGAAAAATGACTGCCACTCGGTTCAATCAGGGTTGTATCATGTGATTTTAAAAGGCCCTCGGTGTGCAATTTTTAGGAGATGAAGAATACTTGAATACTCGAATATTTGATCGGAGAAAATCAGAGTACTCGAACTCGGGATTTCAATGCCAACTTTCACCCCTAATATAGATGCAACAAGACTAACGTACGGAGGTGTACTAGCTCGCAGGTCTAGGATCACCGAGGCTAAGTCAAAACCAACAATCTCGTCGAGCAGGCCATGCTACAGGAGGTAACATACTAGTACATGACGGGATGGGGGCATACTCGCTCAGAGCTACAAGCACACATCATGTATGAAGCCGCCAATGACTTACGATATGGAGAGGAAGGGTTCCACCTGTAAGACCTTCTCCCATAGAAACACCAGATACTCCTCAGGATCTACGGCATAGAGCAAACACCCATACACAAATACATCATAATCCTTTGGTTTGAAATCCTTGCCGGCACGTACAGTGAGCTCCTTCAACACACCGTCTCCAATACACCATAGCCCATGCAGGCAAGGGTTCACGGCGTCCCCGCTATCAAGCGACACAAGTCTGTGCTATTGCAGTGGGGATGAGCATGGAGCAGGGTACACCAGCACTTGCCAATGCACTGTGGGAAGTAATGAACAAATATTCGTCACGCATGCAACAAGCCCAACCAACCTTTCTCAGCAAACTGTATTCCGGCGATGAGCTCCCTCAGCAAATGCCTCAGCTTCAGAACGTGTATATCCGACACAAATCCGTTCCTGCAAACCGCAGGCAATCAAGCACATGCGCATGTAACACAAAATCCGTTCTCCGTTGGCCATCGTACATAAGGGGAGGCTAGACAAGACACCGACGACACCACACATAGCCTATGCGGGTAGCTGTGACTTTCCGGGTCACATGGCAGGTCACCTGGTGGCCAGCTCTCTGTCTGGCTCGCTTTACTGGATTCTACTATTTCTAGACTGTATTCTTCAGGCTCACTCGCATTGCAAACTTCCTTGTTATTGTGTTTCCAACTAACTAACTACTAAAGAAGAAGACTACTGAAGACTAGCCGAAAGGGAAAGGCACCTGCGTCTTATAACAGCAGGGCAACATAAAGGCACAGCAGGCCGAGCAGGGCGGCATAAAAGGCACATGTGAAACCAGAGACCCGGACCCGTCGAAGCATGCAAATGAGGGCCGCTCTATCGCCTGACATGAATGCATACAAACCAGTCTACATGACCATGCGTGCACATCTCCCCCTTCACTCACGAAATGGCATATGAGTGAGTGCATGAGCAAGGCAGTGCAGCAGCAAGAATGAGCGCACCGGAAGGCAGCATGTGGAAAGTGCAGACGGACAACCACAAGAGAAAACATCAGACACATCAGAAAAGACTAGAGACAGCACACCAGTGTCAGAGCACCAGCACTCTAACTAACAGAACAGCGCAGCTAACTGTCTGTCTCGACCGGGCGTCGCCTCACTCCACAGGGAGCGGAATGAGGCGTTGGATGGCTCGCCGGTAGATCTTGCCCCGGATCTCAACATCCACCACCCTGACGCAACTGTCTGGTCCGGGGAAGACACGCCTCACCCTGCCCAGTGGCCAACTGCCCTGGGGTGTGTCGGGCTCGATGCACAGCACCACCTCATCGACAGCGATGTTCTTCTGCGTCTTGCGCCACTTCCTGCGCTGGTTCAGCAGTGGGACGAACTCCAGGAGCCATCTCCTCCAGACCTCCTTCACTGTGCGCTGCACGACGGCGAAGCGATCTCTGGGGTGGACTTGCTCTGTGGCGTTCAGTTTCTCTTCCAACGGCAGAGGTGGGTCGCAGCATCCTGCAAGGAAATGCTGCGGAGTCAGCAGCTCGAGGTCGGCGGCGTCGGCACTGACTGTTGTCAGCGGACGGGAGTTGATGAGGTCCTCTGCGGCGACGATGGCGGTGTGTAGCTCCTCATCAGTGAGCTCAGTGGTGGCCAGTGCGGATCTCAGAGCGCGCTTCGCTGCCTTAATCATAGCTTCGAAGACACCTCCAAAATGCGGTGCTCTGGGTGGGTTGAACCTCCACCGGATGTGTCGATCAGCGAGACTGCGCGCGATCTCTGCGCGATCGAGCTGCTCCACGGCTTCTCGTAGCTCCCGTTCAGCCGCGACGAAATTTGAGCCGTTATCGGTGACGATGATGCTTGGCGTGCCGCGCCGCTTAACAAACCGGTTGAACGCCATGAGGAACCCCCCGGTATCCATGGAGTAGGTGAGCTCCAGATGGCAGGCACGGGTTTCCAGGCACGTCATGAGACAGAGGTAGCGCTTCGCTCGGGTTCTGCCTAGTCCTTGCTTAGTCTGGAACGGCCCGGCAAAGTCGATGCCGCAGTGCGAGAATGGTTGGAGAGACCCAGCAGTCCGAAAGTCCGGCAGAGCGCCCATGATCTGCGCCGCCGGTACACCCCAGTTCTTCCGACACGGAACGCACGACTGGCGTGCCGTCTTGACTGCTGATGCACCGTTTACTATCCAGAACCTCTCCCTCAGGTTGGACAGCAGATGCTGAGGTCCCACGCTGTGGCGGCACCTCCGGTCCTCCTTCTCGATCAGCAGCCGCGTGACAACGTGCTTCTGAGGCAGGATGATCGGTAAGCGTACACGATATGGCAAGTGTTTCGCAGCCTTCAAACGGCCTCCGACCACCATCAGCGGTTCAGCATGTTGATCTAGCGTCGGGGTTAGCGCCGCCAGCGGGTCGCTAGCCTGCATTGGCTTTCCGGCGGCCAGACGCTCCAGGGTTGGGCCGTACGCGTCCTTCTGCGCCTGTCGTATCCAGTGCCTCTCAGCGCGGCCTACCTCACCCGCCATCAGCTCTGGCACGTTGACAGTAGGGTAGTTCGGGTTGGCTGCTCGCGAAGTTGACACTGCAACGGTGACGTCTTGATCGCTGCTGGTATCCTCCCCCTTCATGCCGACGCGTGGCTTGCGGCGGCATCGGCTGACAAACCGGTAGCACCACGCAGTCACCCTGAGCAGCTGCTCCCAGGTGCGGTATCTGGACGCCTGGAGGCGAGTGGTTGGCGTGACGGCAAGCGTGAACGTGGTCTCCCGCTGGATGACGCCTGGCAGACCTTCTGTGGACGCCGACTTCTCAGGCGGCCATACGTCTGGTTGCTGCGACAGGAACGCGGGTCCGTGCCACCACACCCGGTCCTCCGCCAACTCCTTCGCTGGTAGCCCACGGGTACCCTTGTCGGCGGGGCTCTGCTTGCCAGGTACGTGCCTCCACTGGGAGGGCTTCGTGGCGTTCTGTACCTCTGAGACGCGGTTGCCGATGTCGACCTTGAACCTGCGACTGTGCGAGCGGATCCACCCCAACACGTTCATGGAGTCCGTCCAGAACGTGTGCTCGGCGACCGGGATGTCCAGAGCGTTGCCAACTTCGCTGCTGGTCCGCAGACCCAAGACGGCGCCGCGAAGCTCCAGCTGGGGGATGGTCTGCCGACGAGCCGGGGCTGTCTTGGCCTTGGCCATGGCGAGCGTCACCCGCACGTTGCCGGATGCATCCTCTGCGCGGATGTAGGTCGCGGCAGCGATGGCACGGTCAGACGCATCCGTGAACGTGTGGACGGAGAGGATGGACTCCGTAGCCGCCTTGAAACTGCGTGGCGCGTTGATGGCGGCCAGGTCGGGCAGCTCGTCAAACCACTTCCTCCACTTTCTGGCGTGTGTGGGAGGAAGCTCGTCGTCCCACGCCTGATCCAGCAACCAAGTGTCCTGCAGCAGCACGCGGGCACGGATCGTGAACGGCGCAATTTGCCCACGAGGATCGAACGCCGACGCCAGGCCGCTGAGGACGGAGCGCCGTGTCAACTTGGTGAACTCTGGTCGCTTGAAATGGAAGCTGAAGACGTCTTTATCCGCTGACCAGGTGACTCCCAGCGTCTTCGTAGTAGGCAGAGTGCAGTGGATATGCTCACCGACATTGAGTGTAGCGGATGCGGCTTGATCAGCAGCTGGTATGCTCTGCAGGACTTCCGCGCTGGTGGACAGCCACTTGCGCAGGTGGAACCCGCCGCGCGACAGGATGTCCTGGAACTGGACGCGGCTCTCCACTGCGTCGGCCACCGATGGGCGCGATGTCAGCAGGTCGTCGACATAGCGGCTCCGCTCCAGAGCGTCGGTAATTGCGGCTGAGTATTGCGGGCCGAATCTGCGCAGTACCTCCTGGACTGCCTTGCCCGCCAGGTAAGGCGAGGCCTTGATGCCGAACACCACGCGCTGAAACTCATACACCCGCGGCTGGTTGTCGTCGAAGCGCCAGAGAAACCGGTGGTATTTGCGGTCCTCTTCCCTGAGAGCCACTTGGAGAAACATCTCCGAGATGTCAGCTACAAGTGCTACAGGCTCGGCACAGAACCGGATCAGGACCTTGACAATGTTGGTCTGAAGTGCCGGGCCGCTGAACATTTCATCATTAATCGATCGCCCGTCCCACTTGGCCGCGGCGTCGAACACGATCCGCACCTTGGTCGTCTCCTTGTCGTTGCGGACGACCGGGAAGTGCGGCAGGAACCATTGCTGAGCATCATCGGCGTCCACCTCCCTGCTGGGCACTTCACGGATGTACCCCTTGTCGAGATGGCTCTGCAGGACGTCGTGGTACTGCTGTTGTACTCTCGGGCGGCTTTTCAGTGAGCGTTCCAGGCTGCACAGTCGTTGCGCGGCTTGCGGCCGGTTGGAGGAGATGTGGGGCTCGGGATCAACCCACGGAATGCCCAACTCCACCCTTCCATCGACGAACCGGGCCGTTGCGTTGGTGCGCTCCTCCACCTGGCTGTCCTCAGCAGATGGCATAGCGTCGTAGCAAGGCGGCCGTGCGCCGGCTGACTCCATGCCGAGATGGTTTCGGACGAGCGTCTCGAGGCTCAGATCCTCTGATGTAGGCGTGATGACTGCTGAGAAGCTGGCAGGGGCCAAATCTGCTCTTCCTGGGCTCAAACACACCCAGCCCAGTGGGGTGAGTCGGGCAATCGGGTGGTTTAGGCTGCGCTGTAGTGGCTTCCTGCCGTACGGTGTGCAGGTCGATGGCGTTGAGACCGATCAGCACGTCGATCCGCCCCTCCACTGAGGGGAACGGGATGTCGCGGAGATGCTCCCAGCTCTGCTTGCTCTGGCTCCAGTCCACCGGCTGCACGCTCGGGCACACTGTTGGCAGCGCCCAGGCGCGGAACTCCGATATCGAGCCGTCAGCTTTGTCGACCGCGACGGTGACGTGCTCGTACGTACCGGTCACTTGCCCGCCGCCCAGGACGGACGCCGTCAGCTGCTTTCGTGGGCCACACACGCCAATGGCAGAAGCGGTCTGCTGCCGGATGTAGCTGGTGGATGACGCAGGATCCAGCAGCGCAGTGCCTTGCACCCTCCTGCCGTTGTGGCTGAGGACAACAGGTACCGCCATGAACGACAGCGGCAATGCGTCGGGTGGTTTGTCCTCCTCACGCCGCTCAGCTGTTGCCATGGCGGTGTCGAGAGCAGACGTCACGTGTGTGGTGTGTGCCTCCGTACACGACTCGGTTGAAGCGTCAACTGTGACGTGAGCCGTGTGACGACCGTGTCTCTCCGCTGGTGCTGGCTTGGTCGGCTTGGTGCCACCGGGCGCATCTCGCTTTGGCCTGTAGGAGTGCAGCAGTGCGTGGTGTCGTCGTTGACAGGCGCCACAGCTCATCTTGCACGCAGTGGACCAATGGCCAGGCGACAGGCAGCAGCTGCAGATGTCCTTGCAGGCGCGCACAAATTCCCATCGCTGCTGAACCGTCAGAGATTTGAACCTCGGGCACGCGCTCAGGTGATGCGTGCCCTTGCAGCTTGCGCACTGGTCTGGACTGACCGCGAAGGTGAAGTCTCCTGACCGTGGCGGACGCTTGGGCGTGACGCTGGGTGGGCATGGCTTCTGGGACTGCACGACTCGCCGTGCACTGGCTGGCTCCGAAGCCGCGATCCGTTCGTTCACCCTTGTGAGCTTGTGAACGCGCTTGAGCAGGAACGCGGCAAATGCGTCAATGTCACACTGGGTGTCGTCCTGCTTCTCAAAGTAAGCTGAAAGGACCGAACGCGGCACCTTCTGCGTCACTGAGAGATACAGCTCTCGCCCGGGCGCTATCCTGGCCACCCGCAGGTTCAACAGCGTGTTCCTCAGCTTGACGGCCAGCGTCTTCAGCTCATCCAGCTCGCGCTCCGTGTTGATTCGCGGCCAACTCATGAGCTCGCGTTCCTGCTGTTCGAGGCTACGGTCTGTGCCCCCGTACCACCGATCCAGCTCCTCCATGATGGCGGAGTAGGCGCCCGGGCCGTCTAGCACATCCGCGATCAAGTCGTCGGCCGCTCCGTCCGCCAGTGCCTCCCGCAAGTGCGCGAGCTTATAGTCCTCTGACAAGAGCGGGTTCTCGTGTACTAGACGGAGAAACCGCTGACGCCACTTCACATATGACAGCATCTTGCCATTGAAATTCAAGTGGCA